AGGTTCTGAGTTTGGTGTAGTGGGTTAAAGGTGTACCAGCTGTGCTGGTTGTTGTCAAGCATCTGTGCTGGCTAGGGTTCGAGTCTCCTGGTGGGAGTTGTTGTCTAAAGTTGATTAACTTCAAACTTGTGAATTTAGGCAAGTTAGTGCATGCATATATATATATATATATATATATATATATATATATATATATATATATATATATATATATATTATATATATATATATATATATATATTTATATTTGGTAGCAGTCTTTCCTGTAGACATATATTATTAAATATGACCGAAAAAGTAAGATTAATAATTCTAACACGAATTTTCTCAATCTTTCGTACATTACGCTTCACTGTTGGAGGTAAATCAAAAATCACTTCTCCAAAATTCATTTTTATTTCTAGTCTGACGCGACACGGGCGCGTTTCGTAAAACTTATTACATTTTCAAAGACTTCACAAATACACAACTGATTAGAACTTACGTATCTCTGATTTTATATCTACATTTGAGTGAGGTGAGAGGGGTGATGTGGCATTAACACAAGACAGAACAAGAGGGGATATTAATAGGGTATTAAAAGTATCAACAGAAGACAGAACAGAAACAATGGGTATTGAATAGAAGTGTTTGTAGAAAGCCTATTGGTCCATATTTCTTGATGCTTCTATATTGGAGCGGAGTCTTGAGGAGAGAAAATTCGTGTTAGAATTATTAATCTTACTTTTTCGGTCATATTTAATAATATATATATATATATATATATATATATATATATATATATATATATATATATATATATATATATATATATATATATATATATATATATATATATATATTATGCTGTGGAATATGACCGAAAGGGTAAGATTAATGATTCTAACACGAATCTTCTCAATATTTCTTAAGTTTTTCTTCACTGTCAGGGGTAATTGAAAAATTAACTCTCCAAAGTTCATTTCCTCATTGTTTTTCTCCCAGTTGCTGCTCAAATCACACTGTCCTTAGCCTCCTCTCTCAAGCTGAGACTGACCTAGGCTAGTTGCCAAATTAATTTTCAAGGATGATTAACAAAGATTAATCCTGTACTGATCACTGAAGGTGACTTAATCATCATTCCAAAAAATTGGAAAGTTACCTAGATACTTGAGCAGGTAAATTACTGAATACAATATTGAATGATAACTTGAATTTCTCTACATTACTGATGTTCTATTTTGCTTTCCCGACTACAATGCGTACGTCGCCAATGTACATGTGGCAGACGCTTCACAAAGCAGTCGGAATCAGCAGAGAAAATACGAGAGCAACCTTCAGGGCCTGGGAGCAAGGTCGAGTTAGAGTCCTTGAGGGCCTCTTCTCAGACTAGCCTCACCTGGTCCTGCTCCACGTTGATCGTTGGAATCTCCTCAATGATTTAACACTTTAAGGGACTCCTAGGGTCCTCATCACATTTATGGTTTGTGACTTATAGGCAACTCGGTGTTGAAGACACTTAAGAGCTGAAGGCTTGTGTAATATTTGCAGTATTCAGAAGTGGTTCAACGGAAACACCGCATAAAGCTTAACAGTAGTTTATTTACTAACTTAACCACTAATACACAGGGTGCTTGATTTACTTTAGATTGGCGTCAGTAAAGCTATGGTTGTATTAGCGAGACTCTTGACGTCTGGCTAAACGACTCGTATCCACTCGTGGAGAAACACCTAACTTAACACAGTTGACAGGTAATAATGTCACACAATAACTAAATGTGTGGTGTATGTGAAGCTCACATTCACAGACGAGTGTAATGTCGTGATACCACACAGATAACACCGTCGGGTGTCTAGGTCTCCACTTACACCTGTGTCAGGTATGAGAAGGTGAGAACTGTGGTTGATCCCTCAGATCAACACAGACAGACACAATAAAACAATGACAAGATCTTGTACTTACAGGTACTCTTATTCACTCACTCACTCAGGCACATTTATGCAAGAACTCGTAGGTGGCCTGACAGCTGGTTCTGCTCGTCACGACGTGAGACCATTGACGACAGGCTTTCTCACACACCATACTTGACACGGGGGTACTCGCAGGAGGGCGCGCTGTATGTCAACAGACACACACACACACACTTGGCACTGGCGGTGAGTAAGGGTGGTGACATCACGTAGTACCGTGAGGCAGGGCGGCTGGCGGCTTGAGGTACCGAGGTACTGAGGCACTAGCTACACGCTCTGGACAGTGGCGGCTGGCGGCTGCAAGTTATATGGTTCCATGCAGGTACACTGTGGTAAAGTCACACACAGGTTACTTAGGTGGCGGCACTGCCTTAGCTCACTCTAGGTCACTCACAGACGATCTCCACTTGTCACCAGGGGTTACCTGATAACAGTCTGTTTCGCTCTGGGGATTTGTCACTAGGCTTTTAAACAATATATTCATGGTCGCGATTCCGGGCGAGCGTTGGTATATTGAAAATACGCTGAGTTTAACTTGATGGTGAGGAATAGACGGTGTTGTTCTGTCTATTGGCCGATAGACAGAACAGGACACGTCCTCTATACAAGGGCTTCCTCACGTGAATGCTCTTGCCTGGGGCTCTGGGGTCCTCGTGGGACACAACACAAGGGGTTACAATTTGACCAATGACATTGCAGCGAAAGAGCGGGAACCAATCATATTGATCATTCCCTGATCAGTAGCAGAGGTGACGTCATGAACACGTCACGACCACGTCACAGTTGTTATTCTCCGTCGCGCCGGTTGAGGCTGACCCCAGAGGTCAGATTCTGTGGCCTGAGCTGGCGTCTCATCTGCTCTCTCACGCTTCTACACCTCCTATGTGTACTCTCTGACCCTGTAGCCGGTCGGCCGAGTGGACAGCACACTGGACTTGTGATCCTGTGGTCCCGGGTTTGATCCCTGGCGCCGGCGAGAAACAATGGGCAGAGTTTCTTTCACCCTATGCCCCTGTTACCTTGCAACAAAATAGGTACCTGGGTGTTAGTCAGCTGTCACGGGCTGCTTCCTGGGGGGTGGAGGCCTGGTCGAGGACCGGCCAGCGGAGACACTAAAGCCCCGAAATCATCTCACGATAACCTCAAGAAGAAGATAACCTGTAGCAAGTATGCTTAATTTCCCTGGATCTACTCCCTGCCTGGACATGCGGCGGCCTCCGTATTATAAACGTATTCCTGGTTATGTACCGTATGTACTAGGCTGTGACTCGTACGTCAGGCTGCGAGCAGCCGCGTCCAACAGCCTGGTTGATCAGTCCGGCAACCAGGAGGCCTGGTCGACGACCGGGCCGCGGGGACGCTAAGCCCCGGAAGCACCTAAAGGTAACCTCAAGGTAAGGTAAGGTATGTGGGCCTCCTGGGGACACCCAACACGCCAGATTACCATCCAGGGTTAACAGAGATAGGGCTTGTGCACGAGGATCGGTGCACTGGGCACTGTAATGAGCCATTCAAGTCAGCTGTGGGAGAATCTTGAGAGACCATCCTTTCACAACTGAATTAACACACAGATGGAGACTTGGAATAGAGGGGAGGGTAGAGGTGGAGGTGAGGCCAGACTCTTGCTGGTGACCTGACCTACGGTCGGTGTTGCCAGCTCTACACGAGTCGTCTGCCCTCGAACGAAAGGAGGGGATTTGATTCTTTATTCATAAATGACGTAACATTAATCTACCTACTTGATGAAAGAGGTTATTACTACTATTACTGTACTTATTGAGTTATTCATCACTGTTGAATTAATACAAGGGAAACACAGCCATTTTGTCTTCAATCCTCGTTAATCCCTTAATCCCTTAATCCCTTAATCCCAGGGGAGATGACCTTTACTGTGCGAGTCAGGTGAGCTACCAACTCTCTCTACCAACCTTCTAATGAAAGGACAACTTTTAATGTTAGCTCTGTTGCCTTCTATATTAGTAGTTCTACTGTTACAACGTGGAGGTGGGCAGGGAACACCTGTGTGGGGGTGGGCAGCCAGCACCTGTGTGGGGGTGGGCAGGGAGCACCTGTCTAGGGGTGGGCAGCCAGCACCTGTGTGGGGGTGGGCAGGGAGCACCTGTGTGGGGGTGGGCAGGGAACACCTGTGTGGGGGTGGGCAGGGAGCACCTGTGTGGGGGTGGGCAGGGAGCACCTGTGTGGGGGTGGGCAGGGAACACCTGTGTGGGGGTGGGCAGGGAGCACCTGTGTGGGGGTGGGCAGCCAGCACCTGTGTGGGGGTGGGCAGGGAGCACCTGTGTGGGGGTGGGCAGGGAGCAACTGAGTGGGGGTGGGCAGGGCGCACCTGTGTGGGGGTGGGCAGGGAGCACCTGTGTGGGGGTGGGCAGCCAGCACCTGTGTGGGGGTGGGCAGCCAGCACCTGTGTGGGGGTGGGCATCCAGCACCTGTGTGGGGGTGGGCAGCCAGCACCTGTGTGGGGGTGGGCAGCCAGCACCTGTGTGGGGGTGGGCAGCCAGCACCTGTGTGGGGTGGGCAGGGAACACCTGTGTGGGGGTGGGCAGCCAGCACCTGTGTGGGGGTGGGCAGCCAGCACCTGTGTGGGGGTGGGCAGCCAGCACCTGTGTGGGGGTGGGCAGCCAGCACCTGTGTGGGGGTGGGCAGGGAGCACCTGTCTAGGGGTGGGCAGCCACCACCTATGTGGGAGGTGGGCAGGGAGCACCTGTGTGGAGGTGGGCAGGGAGCACCTGTGTGGGGGAGGGCAGGGAGCACCTGTGTGGGGGTGGGCAGCCACCACCTGTGTGGAGGTGGGCAGCCAGCACCTGTGTGGGGGTGGGCAGGGAGCACCTGTGTGGGGGTGGGCAGCCAGCACCTGTGTGGGGGTGGGCAGGCAGCACCTGTGTGGGGGTGGGCAGCCAGCACCTGTGTGGGGGTGGGCAGGCAGCACCTGTGTGGGGGTGGGCAGGGAGCACCTGTGTGGGGGTGGCCAGCAGGGGGGGTGGGCAGCACCTGTGTGGGGGTGGGCAGCCTGTGTGGGGGTGGGCAGGGAGCACCTGTGTGGGGGTGGGCAGGGAGCACCTGTGTGGGGGTGGGCAGGGAGCACCTGTGTGGGGGGGTGGGCAGCCAGCACCTGTGTCGGGGTGGGCAGCCAGCACCTGTGTCGGGGTGGGCAGGGAGCACCTGTGTCGGGGTGGGCAGCCAGCACCTGTGTGAGGGTGGGCATCCAGCACCTGTGTGGGGGTGGGCAGCCAGCACCTGTGTGGGAGTGGGCATCCAGCACCTGTGTGGAGGTGGCCAGCCAACACCTGTGTGGAGGTGGCCAGCCAACACCTGTGTGGAGGTGGCCAACCAGCACCTGTGTGCAGATGGCCAGCCAACACCTGTGGAGGTGCCAACACCTGAGTCAAGACCCGCCACAAGTGAGACTGGTACGCTAGGTGGGGCTTCCTACTCTACTGTAGCCCAGAGGCAGGTCTTCGGGAGCCTCGCTCACACACCTCGAACTACCCCGAGCCTCCCGGCCAGCGCCAGTCACCAGCGCCGTGGTTTCCATAGTCTTGTCAGGGTAATTCTCACTCTTCACTAAATCACCGAGGCCAGAGGATTCTGCCGTGTGTAGGGACGGTTTCCTGATGGCGCCGTTTAAGCCAGGTGCATTGAGAGACGGACCAGTAGCGGAGGTAATATCCCACTCTGGTGTTTCTTCGGCCAGCGGGTGGGGTATATACCCACAGGTCGAAGTGGTGCCCTTGTTCACCAACAGCTCGTGGCTCTCGTTCATGACCGTCATAGCCATCACTTGACTGGGATTTGCAAGTTGAGATGAACTGGTAAACGATCCCAGTTCAACGTAGCCAGCACTATTGAGGTTTGAAGGTTTGGGCATGGAATTTGTCAAAGTTTCGGCCGTGTTAATATTGTCCATTTTATTTCCTAAAGTCACCTCTCCTCTATGTACTGAAACCTCCCTAGAGCCCTGGTTTGATATACCAAAGTTTGGATCTTGGATTCCAACGTAGCCTTGTGGTAGGCCTACCTTGAGAGTAATTGTATCACTGCTGTCTACATATCGCCTCTTTTGTACCTTGGAATTTCCATTTGGCCACAATTCTAAATAATCAGAGATTTTCTCGGTCACTTTCCTTTCAGCATCATGTTGGTCATTTAACAATAGTTCCAAATAATCAGAATGTTTCTCTGTCACTTTAGCTCCAGAATCATGTTTGTTATTAATGTGTACAGGCATAAGTGGGGTGCTTGCTTCTGGGGGTAAGTTAAGATGATCATTGTCCTCTTCGGGGAAGGTAAGGCTCACGTATCGATCCCTAATGTTGTCACTCTGTTTCGGGAGGACGGAGGATGTCTCGAGGGCCTTCGATGGTTTATGGTCGCCTGCGTCGTGTGCATCAACGCCACTTGTTGCGTTCTGAAGACCAGTGGTGTTGAGTGTTCCCGAGGGAGGAGAAGAGGCGACGACGTACCCTGTGCCTGGGGTCATATTCTCAGTCCAAAAACGACGTAGTTCTGACATTTTAGAATCCATTTGATCCCTTCCATCTAAATTCACGGTGTCTTTGATTCCCTGGGGAACAAAGGCTCTGTTATCTTGTTGAACAGTTACGTATCCAAACGTTGGCGCGTCAGTTATTAATAACGTACTCGACAGATTTCCAACGGAATCACTTTGGTTCATAGGTGGCTCGAAGTGGTAATCACCCTGGGAAACCTGGACGTAACCCGGGTGCTGGTCACCCTGGGAGACCTGGACGTAACCCGGGTGCTGGACTACAGTGGAGGCCTCCGGAGTCGCCATCACTGGGGAAAGGTAGCCAACCGTCAAGTCTGAAGTGACTGTTTCACCAGACTTTCTTGGACTGGTCGACGAGCCAGCAGGCGTCCTGGTGGCTTGGTCGGACAGATGTTGCTCTTTCCCGCCAGATGGCTGGAGTGAACCACCCCCGAGAGAGAGTCCGCGGCCACCGGGAACCTCTTGCCGCTCTGAGTCCAAGACGGAACCCGACCTGTAGGGGAGAGCGAGGTATTAGATCTTACATGATACATGATGAAGTGATCGTGAAGAACCACGAAGTATTTAGACTAATTAGCACCAGCGGGTAGACAGACAACCCACCAGCAGGTAGACAGACAACCCACCAGCAGGTAGACAGACAACCCACCAGCAGGTAGACAGACAACCCACCAGCAGGTAGACAGACAACCCACCAGCGGGTAGACAGACAACCCACCAGCGGGTAGACAGACAACCCTCCAGCGGGTAGACAGACAACCCACCAGCGGGTAGAAAGAGAACTACAAACCTGGCCACTTCGACTGCCTGCTGGGGACCACCGCTGGGGACCTGGAGGACAAGGCCGGACGCTGAAGAACCAACACTCCGCGGGAGTCGAACCGGGGCACTAGGCCGGCGGTCTGACCGCTTCGGGGCCTGCCAAAATATGGACATTTTCTTACACCCAATTGCTGAAATTTAACTCTTAGGAAAGGTAAGGTAACTATGAGGTGAAAATGCCAAGCCAGGAGCTGGGGGGTATAAGGACAAGGAGCTGGGGTTATGAGGACAAGAAGCTGGGGTTATGAGGACAAGGAGCTGGGGTTATGAGGACAAGGAGCTGGAGGTATGAGGACAAGGAGCTGGGGGTATGAGGACAAGGAGCTGGGGTATGAGGACAAGGAGCTGGGGTATGAGGACAAGGAGCTGGGGTATGAGGACAAGGAGCTGGGGGTATGAGGACAAGGAGCTGGGGGTATGAGGACAAGGAGCTGGGGGTATGAGGACAAGGAGCTGGGGTATGAGGACAAGGAGCTGGGGGTATGAGGACAAGGAGCGGGGGTAGGACAAGGAGCTGGGGGTATGAGGACAAGGAGCTGGGGTTATGAGGACAAGGAGCTGGGGTTATGAGGACAAGGAGCTGGGGGTATGAGGACAAGGAGCTGGGGGTATGAGGACAAGGAGCTGGGGGTATGAGGACAAGGAGCTGGGGGTATGAGGACAAGGAGCTGGGGGTATGAGGACAAGGAGCTGGGGTATGAGGACAAGGAGCTGGGGGTATGAGGACAAGGAGCTGGGGGAGCTATGAGGACAAGGAGCTGGGGGAGGACAAGGAGCTATGAGGACAAGGAGCTGGGGGTATGAGGACAAGGAGCTGGGGGTATGAGGACAAGGAGCTGGGGTATGAGGACAAGGAGCTGGGGTATGAGGACAAGGAGCTGGGGTTTTGAGGACATGGTGCTGGGGTATGAGGACAAGGAGCTGGGGGTATGAGGACAAGGAGCTGGGGGTATGAGGACAAGGAGCTGGGGTTGAGGACAAGGAGCTGGGGGTAGAGGACAAGGAGGTATGAGGACAAGGAGCTGGGGTATGAGGACAAGGAGCTGAGGACAAGGAGCTGGGGTATGAGGACAAGGAGCTGGGGGTGGGGTATGAGGACAAGGAGCTGGGGTATGAGGACAAGGAGCTGGGGTATGAGGACAAGGAGCTGGGGGTATGAGGACAAGGAGCTGGGGTATGAGGACAAGGAGCTGGGGGTATGAGGACAAGGAGCTGGGGGTATGAGGACAAGGAGCTGGGGTATGAGGACAAGGAGCTGGGGTATGAGGACAAGGAGCTGGGGGTATGAGGACAAGGAGCTGGGGTATGAGGACAAGGAGCTGGGGGTATGAGGACAAGGAGCTGGGGTATGAGGACAAGGAGGGGGGTATGAGGACAAGGAGCTGGGGTATGAGGACAAGGAGCTGGGGAGGACAAGGAGCTATGAGGACAAGGAGCTGGGGTATGAGGACAAGGAGCTGGGGTATGAGGACAAGGAGCTGGGGTATGAGGACAAGGAGCTGGGGAGGACAAGGAGCTATGAGGACAAGGAGCTGGGGTATGAGGACAAGGAGCTGGGGTATGAGGACAAGGAGCTGGGGTATGAGGACAAGGAGCTGGGGGTATGAGGACAAGGAGCTGGGGGTATGAGGACAAGGAGCTGGGGTATGAGGACAAGGAGCTGGGGTATGAGGACAAGGAGCTGGGGTATGAGGACAAGGAGCTGGGGTATGAGGACAAGGAGCTGGGGTATGAGGACAAGGAGCTGGGGTATGAGGACAAGGAGCTGGGGGTATGAGGACAAGGAGCTGGGGGTATGAGGACAAGGAGCTGGGGTATGAGGACAAGGAGCTGGGGTATGAGGACAAGGAGCTGGTGTTGGAAATTTCCAACACTAATAAACTACTATTGTATTATAATGCATCATCATTATTATATACTAACTACAGTAGTTCCTAATTTTACTAACGGTAGTGTCAACATAAATTAAACATTTCATCTGCGTATTAGTGCTAGAATTCTCATGAAATCGAGTAGCAACATTGCGTCAGATAATGTCCAGTTAGACACGTTTATTACCAATGTGTTAGAGAATTGAATGTGGTTCTCTAAAATTATTAGTATTCCGTGTAATAATTACCTACGGATAATATGAGTCCCGATAATCTAAAACCGAGAGTTATTAACTAAAATTGTTATCAAGTAGTAGTTTTATCTGTTACGTGCGAATGCTATGGAGAAAATAAAATCTTCTCCATCTCTCGTTTAACACCATAAAACGAGAATATGATAATATTTAAGTCCCTATAATTGCAACCCAGTTCTCATTAACGTATTACATCCATAATTGCGCGAAAAAGAATTATTCGTGATTAATAATTTCTGTGGTGAATGCGAGAGACGGGTTGAGGGAGGCGGCGACGCCATTGTGGGAGAGAAGGCATCCCCTGGCGTGAAGAGTGGCGAGACACGAGGTAGTGACTGGGGAGTTTATCGACAAGAATTACGTTGATACCCGGCCAACAGTTACTAATTACTTATCCACGTGTTCTATAGTGCCCAGCCAGTTAATAACGCATCAACAATTGAAGCCAAGACCCGTAATTACACGTACACAGCAGTGGACGTCTGGGACTAGCTGACGCGGTTTCGGCAGACCTCAGTATTTAATACGCCCATGTTAAGTATATGGTTCTCGTTTGATGCATCATCCTAGATTATATATTTGTGAGTAGTCTGTCGTCATACAGCAAGGATACCTAATACACAACGTTAGTAAACTTACGACAATTTTCTCCGTTTTCATGAATATTGAAAATAAATCGTAGCCTAATCAAATGTTACTTAAATTTCTCTGATTTCAGCGTGTATACGAGGAGTCGTCAAGTTGTTTCTCATCATTCGTGATATTCACCTCGGGTTCTTTCTTTGTGGGGATCCTGTGACCACGAGGACGAATGACGAAATGGCGTTACAGAAATCGTCTTAAAGCTAAGACATTTTTCGTACATATTTATTTAATATTATTATTGATTTCTATATAATTCCTGTAGGATCTTTACATTGAATAGATTATTACCAGAAATGATAATTGGTAATTAATGTGTTTTGCTCTGACTGTTGCTCAGTAATTCATAATCTTTAATATTCACAATTTGAGTTATCATATCTTTGAATCTATAGTAGTTTTATTACATCATTTACTCAACAATGAACTAGTGACGAACCACACTGGTTCCTAGATATATATATGAACTTCTAGAAATACCCCGCCAATGTAGGTCTTTGAGGCTCTGACTTAAATTAATTAATAATACAGTCCATTCATTATTAAAAGTGATTATTCTTTTAATGATTATCCATAGACACTGGTTCTCTAGTGTTATTCTAATGATCACTTCTATTCGTTTTCCCTCTTTTCTCAAAAGTGGGTGGTCCTTCGATTTATTAAATACAATAAGCAAATAATTGAATATATGAGTCAAGCCCCAGATATCCCACAGCTGGGGGTATGAGGACAAGGAGCTGGGGGTATGAGGACAAGGAGCTGGGGGTATGAGGACAAGGAGCTGGGGTATGAGGAAAAGGAGCTGGGGTATGAGGACAAGGAGCTGGGGTATGAGGACAAAGAGCTGGGGTATGAGGACAAGGAGCTGGGGTATGAGGACAAGGGGCTGGAATATGAGGACAAGGAGCTGGGGGTATGAGGACAATGGGCTGGGGTATGAGGACAAGGAGCTGAGGTATGAAGACAAGGGGCTGGGATATGAGGACAAGGAGCTGGGATATGAGGACAAGGGGCTGGGATATGAGGACAAGGGGCTGGGATATGAGGACAAGGAGCTGGGATATGAGAACAAGATGCTGGGATATAACAAAGTTGGGATAGGACATAGGAAAGGAATGGTACCTAACCACTTCGACTATCGGGTATAGAACGCCGACCTGCAAGAAGCGAGTCCACGGCTATACCCTCTCGTCCAAGTGGCTTACATGTAACCAATGATACATATTAGAAAAGGAAATAGATAAATTGTGTCATTTTCTTCTTAACCAACTTAATCATTCAAAATGACAAACATTTATGAAAAACATTTTGAATTTGAATTTGAATTTTCTAACAATAAAACTGAAAAATAGGGTCCGATTAAGCTGTTATTTCCGAATGTCGGTTTGTGGACTAAGGGGTTCGGTTAAGCGAGAAGTGGGAGAAGCTTATTTGTGCTTGTTAAGAGGGTAGAAACGAATTAAAGAAAAAGGTTATCACTCTGACCGGATATGAGGCCGCACTTCATAAACAGGATGAGTGACTGGTTCACGGAATACCAAATCCCAGAAGACATTGATACATTTGTTGATGACCTTAATAACCAGAGTGAGCACTGTCTCAGAGTTCCGTGCTGTATGACTGGGCGAAGTAACCCTCAGAGGAAGAAAATAAATTGGTATGAGAACGATTACATAAAGATGCTTAATGCAAATGTGCGAGACATGAGTAGAGAGTACCGGAGACATCCCACCGAAAGCAACCAAGAACTGTTCAAAACTGTGTGTCAAGTTGTAACAAGAGAGCAGTACATAGTACATGAACATCATAACAGCATGAACAGGCCACGTGGAGGATGAACAACCCACAGGCGCCAGACAGGCGGCGGCAGACAATGTAAAAAGTTACACCTCTGTACAAGTTAGCCATAGAGTCAGGTCAACGGTCATCGAATCACAAAGAGGTCAGAATTGATGCCGTCATGGTAATCTTCAGGGATTAACCCCTAAACAACAAATGCAAAACCCTCATGTTCAGCTGAGGAGCAGCAGATCAGGGGAGGCAGTTGAGTGGGCACAGCCCAGTAGGGAGGTGTGTGTGGACTCTGGGAAGGAACATCATCTCCAGGAAAACTGTGGAACAACATACGAGTAAGTACGGCTCTCTTGTACTAAAGCACCTCATTCAGTACCCTTGGCCTCTAGTAGGGAATATAGTTAGGGAGTGTCTTATTTAATTATTTTTAATAAAGTCAGATTTTAAGTGTTATTAAATGTGTATTAATGGTTCCTTGCCTAGTGATATTGGGCCTACCGTCCCTTTTGCCCTAGTGACCTAGTGCTCTTAATTATTCAGTACTCCTCCCCCGTTCGTCTTCCGTGTTGAGGTGTTAGTATTGGTGTGTCCCGCCTTATTCTTGTGTACACTATAGTTCCCAAGTGGTCAGGATTATTCGAGTGTCAGGCCAGGATCCTTGTACCGTTCAATTGTCCCCTACACCTGTCCTGGTAGGTTATTCCATCTGCAAGACCTACGACTCTCACTCCGGTCCCCTGTCCGGTAACTCAGGGTGGTGGCAGCGTCACTCGGTAACTCATACGATAGGTTGTGACTACGATTACCTCTATCTTTCTGTCTCACTCTCCCTCACTAGGTTCTCACTCTCCCTCGCCCTCACTCGCTCTCGTTCTCCCTCCCTTGCTCTCGTTCTCGCTCTCGTTCTCCCTCCCTTGCTCTCGTTCTCGCTCTCGTTCTCCCTCCCTTGCTCTCGTTCTCGCTCTCGTTCTCCCTCCCTTGCTCTCGTTCTCGCTCTCTCCTCTCTCTCTCCTCTCGCTCTGCCTCCCTCTTCCTCTCTCTCTCTCTCTCCTCTCGCTCTGCCTCCCTCTTCCTCTCTCTCTCTCTCCTTCCTCTGTGTACTGGTTTACGTCTTCGTATGACGGCCCGAGTGTTAACATCTTACATGATCGGTATAGCATCTGTTATTACCATAGAAAGAGCGGAGATTGCACGGTTAGCTCAGTGGTAGTAGCAGGGTGCGCGGTCGAGATAGATACAAGGCGAGGTATTACACGCAGGGTCATTACAAAGTAGCCAGGGAAGAGAAGGTTAGAGAGCAGGAAAGACAATGGCTTGACTTCACCAACTCTATTGGAAGAGAAACATCTGCAAGACAAGTGTGGGCCAAGATAGAGATAGCTAAGGGGGGCAGAGCCCGGCCTGCGGCTCACAAAGACCCCCAGGGTAAGGCTGAGGAACTAATTCATAAGTGGAGTGATGCAGCATCCTCCTCCTCCCTCCCTGCAGAAGTAAGCAGGGAACAGCTCCTGCGACTTGATGACAGAAGAATTAGGATAATAAGAGCACTGTCTAGTGATGACGAATAAGGGGAACCAATCACAGCCCAGGAAGTAAAGGGCGCTATGAAAAAGGGTAAAAGTACAGCACCTGGTGAAGATGGCGTCACCTACGACATACTCAATGCACTGTGTGAAGTGTCTGGGAATCCACTACTCCACCTGTTTAACAAGTCATTCCTAAGTGGAGTGTTGCCCACACACTGGAAACACGCAATAATTGTCCCCATACTGAAGCCTAATGACCCTGGTAATTACAGACCTATCAGTCTCGTGTCATGCACTTGCAAGATGCTTGAAAGGATCATCCTAAACCGACTTGCACAAAATAGGCAGGTTAGGGGAGGGGGCAATGGATTTGTTAAAGGACGGAGCACAGCAAATTGTATAGTTCATTACCTGGCTAATGACACAGCTAAGTACTCTGTATTTGTTGACATCACAGGGGCATTCGACCAAACGCAGGGGATTGCTATCTTAGACGAGCTTGCATTAATTGGTATCAAGCGGAGACTCATGAAATGGGTTGAAGACTACCTCACAGGGAGGAAGGTCAAGGTCTGCTTCGATGGAGCAGTCTCAAGAACAATGATTATGGAACTCGGGACTCCCCAAGGCGAAGTTTTAAGCCCCACACTATTCAATGTACTTATGAACGCCATTGCAAATATTGATTTTCCGGAAGGAACACAACAAGTGGGATATGCAGATGATGTCCTAATACAAGCTCCCACCTTGGGAAAAATTAAACAGTCCATTAACCTCCTCGGAAGGAAATGTATTGAGCTCGGTTTCACTCTCTCCACAAACAAGACAAAAGCATACTCTCATCACAAGAGGGGAGAAAATGAAGAACTACAAATTAATGGTGTAACACTTGAATGGGTTGACCACTATCGGTACCTTGGCGTCACTGTCGGCTCTAACAAGGGAAAGAAAGAGGAGCTCAACCAACTCATAGGAACATGCAAAAGTCGACCCAGGGCACTGAAAGCCATGACCTGGAATGGACATGGAGCCTCTATTGCCGTGCTAAAAATGATGTACACAGCCTATGTGCGCTCCGTCATAGACTATGCAGCACCAGTTTTATGCACCTACTCCCAAAGTGATATGAAAAGGATCGAAAGCATTCAGAATGAAGCCATGACAATCATTCTTGGAGTTCCAAGAACTGCCAAAACGTCCAATCTACGAGAGGATTTGTCCCTCCCCAGTGTTAAAAGCAGAATTAAGGAGCTGAATGCTAAACTTGCAATTAGGATAGCCAGAGATCCCCATTACAATGATATTGCTAAGAAAAAACTGAGTTCTGTGCTACTTTCAGGGGGAAACAGGAGAAGCAAAAAATGGCATCACAGATCAGTCTGCTACCTTGAAGAGCTTCACCTGCTTGAGCAAGCCCGTGAGCTCCTGCCTGTAGAGAGGTTACCTCCCTGGGAGGATGACTCGTGCAAGATCATCATCAATGAAATGGCAATGAAAAAATCCAACATGATACCACAAGAAATGAGGCACAAGTATCTCGAGGAAATTTATAAAGAAGCCGAAGATGAACTAGATCAAATCTACACTGACCGGTCATCTAATCCTGTCAATGGCAGGGCTGGAGCAGCATACACGGTAATCAAGGATAATACTTTCCAACGCAGAAATGAAGAAAAAGCGCGTATTGAGAACTATGCCTCTTCAACGCAAGCAGAACTAACTGCCATTATTCTGGCGTTAAGGTTTCTTGAACGGAACACTAATAGTGCAGTGATCTGCACTGATTCAAAAGCAGCACTGCAAAGCCTAAGTAAAAATCGGGCAGAAAATCTTGCAATAGTCGCTGAAATTAAGAGAGCTGTGAGAGTACTTACCAATCAGGGAAGAGTCATCAAGTTTCTGTGGATCCCCTCCCATGTTGGAATATGTGGGAATGAACGAACAGATGTGCTGGCTGCTGAAAGAGACCATATTGAATACTTTATACCCAAGACTCTTCTACAAATTAGAGGTATTGTCAGGCAACATCACCGTGACAAGGTAGCTGAGGTAAGGAGGATAGAAGCACAAACCAGTGAATCTGTACGATGGTACAACATGGTTGCAGCTGGCAATCCCAGTCATTATGGGCGAAGAGGAGGAGGACGAGGGAGAGAGTCAGTAATAACGAGATCCGTCTTGGATACAAATATCCATGGAGATATGGAATGGAAACAACAGTTGATCAGCGAAGCTGCAGAATCTGTGGTGAGAGTGACGGACACCGCCTTGACCACTATCTACGTGAATGTGAACACCTGAGAGACATTAGAAATATGTGTAGAATAATAAACCCCACATTGTTTGAGTTAGGAAAACACTATTTGTCAAATATTGATACTGTTCTTAAAAGATTTCCCCATTTTGCACCCGTAAGATAACGTAAGCTTTTAAGGGTTGATAGATGTTAATCTTCTTGTTTGAGGAGCTGTTCACTTGAGACAGTTAAGCAAGTCCCAGCTGTGTCTGGGTACAAGTGACAGGATGAACAACCCAGCGGGTTTTCTTCCTATTGGGGAGTGTTGTACATTCTGCTATGGCGGTGTGTCCACTCACAAGATGAGTGGCGCTGCCCAATAAACTCGCCCCTCGGGGCAAAATTTAAAATTTTAAATTGAAAGGGTAACTTAACCGTGTCCACTGCACGCTTGGCACAGCACACATACAGTCACAGGTCACTGGATCAGTGATCATGAGAGAGACCCAAAACAGAGGCTTGTGTCTCTAGAAGGAAAGTGAAGGGAGTGACAGAGAGAGAGAGAGAGAGAGCCTCACCTCGTTCACCAGGCCTATGGGCAGGTTGGGTTCTCTCTTCAGTTCTATCGCCAGGAGCTGTAGTTTCCTGCAAGCAATTGTGGGTAATTAGTATCACGGATGACCCCCGCACAGCCCTGTCGGCCATAGCCGCCATTTTTTCCAAGATGGCCGCCATTTTTTTCAAGGTGGCCGCCATTTTTTATGACGGACATAATCATTCAAAGCAGAAAATGAATTGCCATTTTAAGGCTAACTATTATGAAATCAGTATTTCACATTTGAGATTATATATGGACCTTCGGGAAATTTTATAACTATATTACTTTAGAAACCAATATCTTTATCTACACTATCCCTTTATATATATATCTATAGCCCCCAGCTACACCCTGCCCAGCCACACACCCTCCCCAGCCACACACCCTCCCCAGCCACACACCCTCCCCAGCCACACACCCTCCCCAGCCACACACCCTCCCCAGCCACACCCTCCCCAGCCACACCCAGCCACACCCTCCCCAGCCACACACCCTCCCCAGCCACACACCCTCCCCAGCCACACACCCTCCCCAGCCACACACCCTCCCCAGCCACACACCCTCCCCAGCCACACACCCTCCCCAGCCACACACCCTCCCCAGCCACACCCTCCCCAGCCACACACCCTCCCCAGCCACACACCCTCCCCAGCTACACCCTGCCCAGCCACACCCTCCCCAGCCACACCCAGCCACACCCAGCCACACCCTCCCCAGCCACACACCCTCCCCAGCCACACCCTCCCCAGCCACACACCCTCCCCAGCCACACCCTCCCCAGCCACACCCTCCCCAGCCACACACCCTCCCCAGCCACACCCTCCCCAGCCACACCCTCCCCAGCCACACCCAGCCACACCCTCCCCAGCCACACACCCTCCCCAGCCACACCCTCCCCAGCCACACACCCTCCCCAGCCACACCCTCCCCAGCCACACCCTCCCCAGCCACACACCCTCCCCAGCCACACCCTCCCCAGCCACACCCTCCCCAGCCACACCCAGCCACACCCTCCCCAGCCACACACCCTCCCCAGCCACACCCTCCCCAGCCACACCCTCCCCAGCCACACCCAGCCACACCCTCCCCAGCCACACACCCTCCCCAGCCACACCCTCCCCAGCCACACACCCTCCCCAGCCACACCCTCCCCAGCCACACACCCTCCCCAGCCACACACCCTCCCCAGCCACACCCTTCCCAGCCACACCCAGCCACACCCTCCCCAGCCACACACCCTCCCCAGCCACACCCTCCCCAGCCACACACCCTCCCCAGCGACACCCTCCCCAGCCACACACCCTTCCCAGCCACACACCCTCCCCAGCCACACCCTCCCCAGCCACACACCCTCCCCAGCCACACCCTCCCCAGCCACACACCCTCCCCAGCCACACCCTCCCCAGCCACACACCCTTCCCAGCCACACACCCTCCCCAGCCACACCCTCCCCAGCCACACCCTCCCCAGCCACACCCAGCCACACACCCTCCCCAGCCACACACCCTCCCCAGCCACACACCCTCCCCAGCCACACCCAGCCACACACCCTCCCCAGCCACACCCTCCCCAGCCACACACCCTCCCCAGTCACACACCCTCCCCAGCCACACACCCTCCCCAGCCACACCCTCCCCAGCCACACACCCTCCCCAGCCACACCCAGCCACACCCTCCCCAGCCACACCCCTCCCCAGTCACACACCCTCCCCAGCCACACACCCTCCCCAGCCACACCCTCCCCAGCCACACCCAGACACACCCTCCCCAGCCACACACCCTCCCCAGCCACACACCCTCCCCAGCCACACACCCTCCCCAGCCACACACCCTCCCCAGTCACACACCCTCCCCAGCCACACACCCTCCCCAGCCACACACCCTCCCCAGCCACACACCCTCCCCAGCCACACACCCTCCCCAGCCACACACCCTCCCCAGTCACACACCCTCCCCAGCCACACACCCTCCCCAGCCACACCCTCCCCAGCCACACACCCTCCCCAGCCACACACCCTCCCCAGCCACACCCAGCCACACCCTCCCCAGCCACACCCCCTCCCCAGCCACACCCCCTCCCCAGTCACACACCCTCCCCAGCCACACCCTCCCCAGCCACACACCCTCCCCAGCCACACACCCTCCCCAGCCACACACCCTCCCCAGCCACACACCCTCCCCAGCCACACACCCTCCCCAGCCACACACCCTCCCCAGCCACACACCCTCCCCAGCCACACACCCTCCCCAGTCACACACCCTCCCCAGTCACACACCCTCCCCAGCCACACCCTCCCCAGCCACACACCCTCCCCAGTCACACACCCTCCCCAGCCACACACCCTCCCCAGCCACACACCCTCCCCAGCCACACCCTCCCCAGCCACACCCAGACACACCCTCCCCAGCCACACACCCTCCCCAGCCACACACCCTCCCCAGCCACACCCTCCCCAGTCACACCCTCCCCAGCCACACCCTCCCCAGCCACACACCCTCCCCAGCCACACACCCTCCCCAGCCACACACCCTCCCCAGCCACACCCAGCCACACCCAGCCACACCCAGCTGTAACGGGGGGTGGGGGAAATAACTCTATCTTGTCCATTATTCCACCCCCCAGTTAACTAACGAAGCCGGGGGAAACAGCTCTCTCTAGTCCGTTATCCCGTCTCCAGTTAGCTAACTATTCTAGAGCACCCTCCAGAGTTCCTAAGGCAGCCTCTCTCGCTCAACACCTTGTAACCTAGGTATTTGACTACCTAGGTGCTAAGACTACAAGGCGCCGTAACTTGATCAGTTACCCGAAACTCTAGAGAGAACTCTAGAATACAGAAAAATTTGCCACAAACGTATAAGAGAAAACGAAAGGAAAGAAATGAATAGTGAAGTAATTAGTGAGGGTTTGGGGTGAGAGGTAGAGAGGTGGGAGGAGGGTCATTAGTTGAAAGTGAGAGTTTAGAGAAGGGCGGAGGGAGAGGTGTAGATAGGTAGAAGTAGAAGAGTAGATAGTAGACGTAGAAGAGTAGATAGTAGAAGACGAAATGCTGCCACCATCCATTCATGATCATTACATACAAGACAAGGAATGGAACTTGCCTGTATCACAAAATTCTCAAAAGATGTTATCATGAGTTCATTATTAGTATGTTCCCTCTGTACCATGTATCAACTCCAAACATGTACTCATTTATATCATGAACCCAGTAACCACTGAGGCTTTCTCAAATCCTCAACTCAAAGCTCTAGGGCACAAAGTTAAACACAATTTAAATAATAAATTCATAATTATATTTCACATGAAGTATCATAATATAAGCAATCCAATTCAAATGTTAAAGAGAGTCATCATCCAAGAATTCGAGAACCCTACAACTTGACTGCCCCTGATCATCACACAACATATGTAAACACGACCAAGTCACCTTACTGTTCACTCACCAAGTGTCTCTGCCTATAGCTGGATAGAGGGGGGGGGGGGTCTGTAGTTGACAGAGACTCCCGCCCTGCCGGCCGACAGCCTTCCTGCTAGGCCGTCTCCTCTGCAATCCTGACTGCCGTTCTGTCTGTTAATGCTTTCTGCTGGATAGCTCTCCGAGTTTATATTGGGGAACCTAGTAGCTAACTCCGCCCACAAGTAGATAGCCTCCGGCACTACCAAGCCACTCCTTAAACGTCGGCATGTTTGAAGGCTACCCGGCTCCAATTATACGCTTAGCGGAAGCAAGGTGAAATTATCATGATCTGACCTCAGGTCACTTGGGGTCATTAACGGTTAGAGGTGTGAGATCTCAGGCAGACAACTGGCGCCTCTCAGATCCTTGTCTGTGACTCGTGTACTCTATATATATTTTAAATAAACTAACCCAAACACTTTTACAGTGTTACACAGCCACACCCAGCTACACCCTCCCCAGCCACACCCTCCCCAGTCACACCCTCCCCAGCCACACCCAGCCACACCCAGCTACACCCTCCCCAGCCACACCCTCCCCAGCCACACCCAGCCACACCCAGTCACACCCTCCCCAGCCACACCCAGCCACACCCTCCCCAGCCACACCCAGCCATACCCAGCCACACCCAGCCACACCCTCCCCAGTCACACCCTCCCCAGCCACACCCTCCCCAGCCACACCCTCCCCAGCCACACCCAGCCACACCCTCCCCAGCCACACACCCTCCCCAGCCACACACCCTCCCCAGTCACACCCTCCCCAGCCACACCCTCCCCAGCCACACACCCTCCCCAGCCACACCCAGCCACACACCCTCCCCAGCCACACCCAGCCACACACCCTCCCCAGCCACACCCAGCCACACACCCTCCCCAGCCACACCCAGCCACACACCCTCCCCAGCCACACCCAGCCACACACCCTCCCCAGCCACACCCACCTCCTGCTGTAGCTGCAGAAGAAGACCAGGACAACCGCCGAGAGTATGGCGCCTATAGTGATGACCCCGATGACCCAGGCAGCCACACCTGTAAACACCAACACCACACCTCGTCACCGGCCACACTGTGTTACTGGCCACACTGTGCTACTGGCCACACCTCGTCACCGGCCACACCTCCTTATATTAGCCTCCCATACACATTATGCAGTGGAGTTTTGTGTTTAGAAATGGGTGTTTAAGATGAGTAGGTGAGTATATTGGGTAGATGAGTGAATGTTAAGATGAGTAGGTGAGTATATTGGGTAGATGAGTGAATGTTAAGATGAGTAGGTGAGTATATTGGGTAGATGAGTGAATGTATGAGTAGATGTTTGCTTGTAGTGGCAGAGCACTTCAGCATCAGGCTCTGTTGTGACGACTCATAATTAATGGGGGAGGCTGGCTTGGGGCAGCTGCATGGAAGGGTCGAACTGTAACCCCAAGTTTGTACTCCACTGTGACCTGATGAACGGGCGGGAGAACACGAGTTAATGCTCCATCCAAGAAGCTGTAGACTTGTTGGAGGGAGACACTAAGACGCAGAGACGTCTTAGAAAAGAGAGAGAGAGAGAGAGAGAGAGAGAGAGAGAGAGAGAGAGAGAGAGAGAGAGAGAGAGAGAGAGAGAGAGAGAGAGAGAGAGAGAGAGAGAGAGAGAGAGAGAGAGAGAGAGAGAGAGAGAGAGAGTGTGTGTGTGTGTGTGTGTGTGTGTGTGTGTCCCAGTCGTTTGCTGTCAAGTAAAACAAAGTGGAATATTTTTGGAAGTAATCAACCAGAAAGGCTACAAAGATTATCTCTCTAAATTCTGGTATTCTATAATGGACATCAATGCTCTTGAATGCTGACAGAGAATAATCACAAAGTAGTAATGACCGTCCCTTATCAAGAGAGATTATAACAGCCGATCCAACAAAATTTCTATTTCACTAGAAGTACCAAGAGAAGGTGGTGAGCCTCATAGAATTACATAAGTCATGAATATGACATATTTACTCGCTATAATGCTGGTGCTGAATGTAGAACACGATATAAACGTATTTTTACTCGGAAATAATAACATTTTATAACGAAATGACACGAGACTAAGTGGGAGGTGACGCCATAGGAAGTCGACGATCCGAGCGACAATGTTGTGGCTTTGGGTCCTTATGGACCAACTTTTGTTATTAAACAATATTATTTCAGAGTAAAAATATATTTTCTTCATGTTCTACCTTCAGCATCAACATTATAGTGAGTAAATATGTCATATTACTTCATTACCTACGTAATGCGAGGAGGCCTTGGGCAGCTTTGGGTAATTAGACGGAGCGAATGAAAGGGTAAAAGAAACGGTTTAAGAGCTTACAACAAACTAATAATGAATACAAACTGAATTAATTTAGATTTAGAAAAGGCCTGGGTAAATACTGGCTTGGAAACATTCGTTGGTTTATGGAACAAATTACCGGGGAAACACAATAGAATTGGGATTGTTTCAAGTGTAGTTTACACCTATATATGAATGAGTTTGGGTGTATATAAACAGAAGCTGCCTCGTATGGGCCAAAGTTCCAGCCCCGCTCCTGTGCCAGGTAAGTCCACTACGGGCTCACCATAGCCCGTGCTACTTGCAACTTTTTGTTCCGAGAAGCTGAATCTAAAACAACAAACAACATATGGGCCAATAGGCTAACTGCAGTCTCCATTAAACGTATCAGTTTCACAACGAACTCTCCAAATATCAGTGACAGATTGAGTCCTATTCTGATCAATCAGCCTGTGAGTCACACTACCATCAAATCTACTGACGTAGAGAGGTGAAGATTTCTCTAACTCATCAATGGGTAAGTGAAGCGTGGATTTGTCTCTTTGGGCTAGTCGGTAGAGCGACGAATTAGTATTCTTGCATGGTCTGGGTTCGATCCCCGACGGTCCAAATGATTGGGTACCCTTTCTGTCCTTATAATACCCCTTCCAAGCGCTATATAGTCATACTGGCTTAGCACTTTCTTCTGCCTCATGTTGTCAAGGGTCCATCTTGAAGAAAATGAATAAGTAGCCAACACTGCTTCGTTAACAGGGGTGACAGCCCAAGGAATGAATGAATGAATGAATGAATGAATGAAACAGGGCTCATACACTCCTGGTCTAATCTATACAAATAATTCAAGTGCCATTTGGTCTACAAGACAAGTGTAAACACTTGTTTGATTTTAGTTGTATTCATTATTAAGTGTATAACTAACCTTACCGTACGGTGGTGAGTCAGGTACTCACCCCCATCAGTGATGAAGCAATTACTCACCCCCATCAGTGATGAAGCAATTACTCACCCCCATCAGTGATGAAGCAATTACTCACCCCCATCAGTGATGAAGCAATTACTCACCCCATCCAATTACTCACCCCCATCTGTGATGAAGCAATTACTCACCCCCATCTGTGATGAAGCAATTACTCACCCCCATCTGTGATGAAGCAATTACTCACCCCCATCTGTGATGAAGCAATTACTCACCCCCATCAGTGATGAAGCAATTACTCACCCCATCTGTGATGAGCCAATCTGTGATGAAGCAATTACTCACCCCATCAGTGATGAAGCAATTACTCACCCCCATCTGTGATGAAGCAATTACTCACCCCGTCTGTGATGAAGCAATTACTCACCCCCATCTGTGATGAAGCAATTACTCACCCCCATCTGTGATGAAGCAATTACTCACCCCGTCTGTGATGAAGCAATTACTCACCCCCATCTGTGATGAAGCAATTACTCACCCCCATCAGTGATGAAGCAATTACTCACCCCATCTGTGATGAAGCAATTACTCACCCCCATCTGTGATGAAGCAATTACTCACCCCCATCAGTGATGAAGCAATTACTCACCCCCATCAGTGATGAAGCAATTACTCACCCCCATCAGTGATGAAGCAATTACTCACCCCCATCTGTGATGAAGCAATTACTCACCCCCATCAGTGATGAAGCAATTACTCACCCCCATCAGTGATGAAGCAATTACTCACCCCCATCAGTGATGAAGCAATTACTCACCCCCATCTGTGATGAAGCAATTACTCACCCCATCTGTGATGAAGCAATTACTCACCCCCATCTGTGATGAAGCAATTACTCACCCCATCTGTGATGAACCAATTACTCACCCCCATCTGTGATGAAGCAATTACTCACCCCATCTGTGATGAAGCAATTACTCACCCCCATCTGTGATGAAGCAATTACTCACCCCCATCTGTGATGAGCAATTACTCACCCCCATCTGTGATGAAGCAATTACTCACCCCCATCAGTGATGAAGCAATTACTCACCCCATCTGTGATGAAGCAATTACTCACCCCCATCTGTGATGAAGCAATTACTCACCCCCATCAGTGATGAAGCAATTACTCACCCCATCTGTGATGAAGCAATTACTCACCCCCATCAGTGATGAAGCAATTACTCACCCCCATCAGTGATGAAGCAATTACTCACCCCCATCAGTGATGAAGCAATTACTCACCCCGTCTGTGATGAAGCAATTACTCACCCCATCTGTGATGAAGCAATTACTCACCCCATCTGTGATGAAGCAATTACTCACCCCATCTGTGATGAACCAATTACTCACCCCATCTGTGATGAAGCAATTACTCACCCCCATCAGTGATGAAGCAATTACTCACCCCCATCTGTGATGAAGCAATTACTCACCCCATCAGTGATGAAGCAATTACTCACCCCATCAGTGATGAAGCAATTACTCACCCCATCTGTGATGAACCAATTACTCACCCCCATCTGTGATGAAGCAATTACTCACCCCCATCTGTAATGAAGCAATTACTCACCCCCATCTGTGATGAAGCAATTACTCACCCCATCTGTGATGAAGCAATTACTCACCCCATCTGTGATGAGCCAATTACTCACCCCCATCTGTAATGAAGCAATTACTCACCCCCATCTGTGATGAAGCAATTACTCACCCCCATCTGTGATGAGCCAATTACTCACCCCCATCTGTGATGAGTCAATTACTCACCCCCATCTGTGATGAGTCAATTACTCACCCCCCATCTGTGATGAAGCAATTACTCACCCCATCTGTGATGAAGCAATTACTCACCCCATCTGTGATGAACCAATTACTCACCCCATCTGTGATGAACCAATTACTCACACCCATCTGTGATGAACCAATTACTCACACCCATCTGTGATGAACCAATTACTCACCCCATCTGTGATGAACCAATTACTCACACCCATCTGTGATGAACCAATTACTCACCCCATCTGTGATGAACCAATTACTCACCACATCTGTGATGAACCAATTACTCACACCCATCTGTGATGAACCAATTACTCACCCCATCTGTGATGAACCAATTACTCACCCCCTCTGTGATGAGTCAGGTACTCACCCCCTCTGTGATGAGTCAGGTACTCACCCCGTCTGTGATCGGTTATAAAGTGCTGAGGACTGGACCACTGGGAGAGCCCTGAGCGGAAGGAGACTCTGAGCCACACCGTGTACTGTGACGCCGCTGCCAGCTGCCTCACCTCCACCACGCCCGACCACACCTCACTCTCCCGCGCTGACTCGCCTGAAACACGCAACACAATGACTATAATGACTACCAGTAACAACATAGATATAATTGCTTTACAGGAGCCCTACACGTCCAACATGATAAACAAAACCCCACCAAAGATCAGAGGGTATGCATCCTATAATAACAGTAACGCCACAGGCCTATTAACATACGTCAGAAGTGATTTACCGCACATTCTTGTGAGCACGTCACACAATGTACACACACAGTACCATCACTTTCATGTACAAACTACAGCAGGCCACTTTTCATTCCTCAACGTATATGCCAGAAGCCAGAAACTCAATGTAACATTGTTCCCAGATCTAGACAATCATGGGACAATATACACGGGAGATTTTAATGCTAGACATATTATGCTGGGAGACATTACTAACAACGATAATGGATGCAAATTTATCAAATATGTTTATGACAACAGATTAACCGTGTATACTACGGATACCCAAACTCATTTATTGGGAGGCAGACTTGATTATGTAATGGGTAGAAACCTTGTGCAAGATAATATTTAATGTTAGTTGGTAAATCACTTAGTTAGTGATCACTATGCAGTTTCTGCTTCCTATGAAGTACAGTGTGATGTACCTAATAGACATCAGAGACGGAAAATGAATATTCCATATGGCTTGCATGACCACTTTATTAATTGTATTTCAAAATGGTATCAAGATTACACAATAACGACTGTACAAGCCTTCTCCAGAGATCTCGTTGATACGATTACTACCTACTACGACACATGGGTGTGTTGGGGAACAGGTCGTAAGCCTAGCAGAAGTGGGCAACACCTGCCACCACCCAAGTGGGTCCTTGACCCCGTATTTGTTAAAGAACATGAACGAGTAAAGCAACTTGGGGATACGTATAAACGAACCAAAGCACAAGGTGACTTGCAGGCATTTCTAGTTGCAAATAGAGAGGTGAGAGACATGAGCAACGTTATACGTAATAAACATTGGGAAGAGTTCCTACAAAGTATAAATGAGCAACCAACACTTGTTGAAGTTTGGGAAAAGATACGAAAAATCTCTAGAAGCAGCCCAACCAAACCGCTGCACCACAGCCCACTAGAACAAGCAAACATTCTCCTTGATCAATGGGCACTAACATCGAGCTACGACTCACTCCCAATTAACATACAGCACAAGCTTGATGACACACGCCCCAACAGACAACGAACCATCAATCTTGCCTGTACAGCTATCGACGTGTCGGACCTTAATGATGTAACTGAATGGGAATTAAATCATGCACTAAAGATGGGAAAATCAACTGCTCCTGGAGAGGACGGTATTACTTACAGTCTACTGAGATTAGTCTCACACGTACCAGGTAATCCACTATTAGTGTTGTACAGAATGAGTTTACGTGAAGGAGTATTACCTGATGCTTGGACAAAGAGTGTCATTGTTCCCATCCCCAAACCACACTCAGATAATTATAGACCCATATCTCTAACATCGTGTGTTTGTAAAGTGCTTGAACGTATTGTTCTTAACAGACTCATGTATCGTATACAGGGGGCACCTGTCACCCCAACTGTATGGATTTATGCTCAGTACACAACACTGTTTTGCTGAGTACTTCGCACATATTGAAGCTTCCCCCCAAACAGTCTTCATCGACCTAGCAGCAGCTTTTGATACAGCAAACAGAGAAATCATACTGGAACAGCTTGCCGAGCTGGGAATACAAGGAAAATTACTGAAATGGATAAAGGGCTATTTGTCTAATCGAACAGCATATGTTTTGTTTAATAGTGTTAAAAGCACAGAGAGCAAACACTTTGAACTGGGAACTCCACAAGGAGGGGTCCTCAGCCCCTTGTTGTTCAACGTTCTGATGCATAAACTTATTAAAGATCTTCCAACTAATAATGAAGACACTGTCATTTGTTATGCTGATGATATATGTTTACAGGCTGCCACCGAGCCTAGAATGCAAGTTCTGCTCGACGCTTTTGCTACTAGAGCTGAGGAATGTGGCCTCCTTATATCTGTACAGAAAACTCGTGCCCTCATTCCATGTGGTATTTCACCAGCCAATTATCATATAGATGGGCGAGCACTTGAGAACTGCGAGTCTTACAGATACCTTGGTGTCCCCATTAACGACCCTGGGTACCTTTCTTCTCTCAAGAGGAGACTCTGGGAGAGATTAAAGCCCTTGCGGGTCCTTGTTGGTGTCAATCATGGACTTAACGTGAGACTTGCTAGAATGTTTTATGTATCATTTATACGCTCTGTGATTGACTACAATGCTCTACATCTCACACTGTATACTGACAAAGAGCTGAAATCTCTTGAAACCTTGCAAAATGAAGCTATGCGTCTCATCCTTGGGGCTCCAAAGTCCACGAGAATAGTTAACATGAGAGCAGAGTTAAAATTACCTACCATAAGTGAGAGAATTTTGTCTATTAGCACAGTTTTCGGCGTGAAGGCATTGAGTAGATCTAGACAACACATGAAGTTTCAAGCTAAACTTTCTAATATGCTACACTCACCTGAGGTCTATAGAAGAAGAACGAAATCTGATTATGTATATTGGTTCTACAAGGTAGCCAACTCCATCAAAATATTAAATATGTACCCAACTCGACTAATGATTAATCAGCCAATTACTCCATGGGATAACTGGGATCTATCAGTTGATTTTGTAAATGCGCCCAAGAAAGATAGTGTGCACACTACATTATTAAAACAGTTAACACTGAAAAGCATCACTGAAAGTACTCAGAGTATGGGTAACGATGTGTATCAGTGCTATACCGACGGCTCTGTAGAAGAAGGTGGACGATGTACCGGATGTGCATGTAACATATTTGAACAATCTTCTCTCGTATATACAGCAATGAAGCGCGTCAATGACTGGGCAAGTACAACTCAAACCGGCTTGCAGGCATATACCTTGCCACTGAATTTTTAAAAGACAAAGGCAGTGGACTTATATACTGTGACTCGCAGAGTGCACTCCTGGCATTGAACGCACATAGTAGTGACACCCAGAAAATAGTCAGTGATATTCGAATGAATGTTTTAGCTGCCAAAGAAAATAGATTTGAGATTAAATTCCTATGGATACCATCACATGTTGGCATCTCAAGGCATGACACTGTTGATATGCTTGCTAAGACAGCCTGCAGAAAACCAGTGGTAGAAATTGATATGGGTGTTTCATTAGCAGTGACAAAGAGAATACTTAAACAAATATCTAATGAAAATCTCACCGACCTAACAAATTCTCAAAGACCTGAAAGTTGTAGCATTAAATGTTATGATAGATATCGTGAGGAGACATTCACATATGGGACTAATAGAACAAGAACCCGGCAATGTGATGTTATAGTGGCCAGAATATGCCTGGGATATAGACGTATCTGGCAGCTTTCTCAAAACCCAAATGTCGAGTACACAATGTGTCAACTTTGTGAAAGAGAAAACATGCACTCTCTTGAACATTATATTGTAGAATGTCCCATATTGACTGACTTTCGCCCTCCTGGGCTAAGGTATGCTGAACTCTGTAGTTACTATATGAGTACTGGAACACTTGATGATATATTGGACTTGTATCCAAAATTGACCATGTAATATATCAATCATACAATGTATATATATGATGTAACTATATAACCTGAGCTTGTAAAAGCACTTTCATCACCTTCAGTGATTAAGTGCTTAATTGCACACTAGTTTCTTTATCAGCTACCTCACCCTGTCAGGGTAAATGAGACAAATGTATGTGAATGCATGTGTGTGTGTATATATGTATGTATATATGTATGTATATATGTATGTATATATGTATGTATATATGTATGTATATGTGTGTGTATATGTATGGGTATAAAGTATATATGGAAGCTGATCAGAATTACATTTCACCTTTGTGAATGTACATTAATGACACTATGTAAAAGACACATCTAACACTTTATGTAGGAGATGAGTCACAATAACGTGGCTGAAGTATGTTGACCAAACCACACACTAGAAATTGAAGGGACGACGACGTTTCGGTCCGTCCTGGACCATTCTCAAGTCGATTGTGTATTTACAGTATTTACAGTATTCTCAAGTCGATTGACAATCGACTTGAGAATGGTCCAGGACGGACCGAAACGTCGTCGACCCTTCAATTTCTAGTGTGTGGTCTGGTCAACTTTATGTAGGACATAACGTAAATCTGTGTATCTATGTATTTACGTATGTAGGTTAGCTTAGCATTTTAAAAGCACCGAATCACCTTCTGTGGTCGAGTGTTCAATAAACCCTTGAACTATATGTTTAACACTTCTCTAACCCTGTCCATGGAGGACAGAAGAAAATGTATATATGCTGATTAGCATTGTAAATGTGTGGCCACGTCTGTGGTAGAAAATAATAATACAAAAAAAATGACTATAACCCACGGGAGACATCTCCCGTCTTGTACGGGCTCGCCATAGCCCGTGCTTCTTGGAACTTGTTCCGAGTAGCTGAATCTATAACAACAACAACACCTCCCGTCACGCAGGGTGCAGTCGCACCTCCACAGATCTCCAGTATCAGCTCTTGATACTGGTAATGGCTCAAAAGGGCCACCACTTACGGGCTATTCATGCCCGTGCCACCTTTTGGGTGGCTTAATCTTCATCAATCAATCGACTATAACCCACGGAAATCACGCGTGATGCATCAAATGAACAAATCGTAGCGTCTGGGATCCTCTGGGACGTAAGTTCGAATCCTCGTCACAGCCCTTTGTGAATTTGTTCATTTACTATGACTATAAACTGGGGTAAGTTTAGCGTCAGGAAAGCTCTGGGTAAATACCGGTTTGGAAACAGGGGGGGGGGGGGGTTGATTTATGGAACTCTATAGCTATCGGGGTGACATAATTGACCCCCCGGGAGCTGTGGATTGTTTCAAGCGTAGGTTAGACAGGTATATATATGGATCAGTCTGGGTGGATGTAAATATGAGTCACGTGGTGTTCCCCACATCCGGTGATGTCAGCGATGGTTCAATTACTCACTTCCTTCAGCGTTCCTCACCTCCTCGAGACTATAGTAATGCTATCTACCCAGATAGCATCTAAGACTTCTGGATAGCATGTAACCCATAATTTGATCCCTATTCTATAAACGCACCAAACCAACCCAATATAACCAAACCTAACCTTATGAAACCTAACCTAACCTACCTGACCGAACCCTAACTTAACCCAACCTAACCTACCTGACCAAACCCTAACTTAACCTAACCTAACTTGACCTAATCTGACCTAACCTCACCTCACCAGACTTGACCTAACGCAAATAACATGTTATCTTTGACATACGGCGAGGCTGAGGCGTGACGTGCCCGTGGCGCCATAATACTGGTGGCGGGACAAGGGCGCTACAGAGCCTATATAGTGGTGGACTCACCGTGACAGTCTTGGGAGAGGTTGTGGTGACCGAGACAATAGGTGACCTCTAGGTACTCCACCACCCCGGCCCAGTCATCACACTCCAGCGTCCACTGGACTCTGGCTGTCGTCTCAGACCTGTCAATGAATGTTTTAGCTGCTAAGGAAGACATATTTGAAATTCAATTCCTATGGATACCATCACATGTTGGCATCTCAAGGCATGGCACTGTTGATTTGCTTGCAAAGACAGTCTGTAGAAAACCAGTAGTGAAAATTGATTTGGGCGTTTGTGAAACTTGATATGAAACTTTGTGAAAGTGTGGAATACACCATGTGTCAACTTTGTGAAAGTGTCCAATACACTAGGTGTCAACTTTGTGAAAGTGTCCAATACACCATGTGTCAACTTTGTGAAAGTGTCCAATACACCATGTGTCAACTTTGTGAAAGTGTCCAATACACCAGGTGTCAACTTTGTGAAAGTGTCCAATACACCTGGTGTCAACTTTGTGAAAGTGTCCAATACACCAGGTGTCAACTTTGTGAAAGTGTCCAATACACCAGGTGTCAACTTTGTGAAAGTGTCCAATACACCAGGTGTCAACTTTGTGAAAGTGTCCAATACACCATGTGTCAACTTTGTGAAAGTGTCCAATACACCATGTGTCAACTTTGTGAAAGTGTCCAATACACCATGTGTCAACTTTGTGAAAGTGTTCAATACACCAGGTGTCAACTTTGTGAAAGTGTCCAATACGCCAGGTGTCAACTTTGTGAAAGTGTCCAATACACCTGGTGTCAACTTTGTGAAAGTGTCCAATACACCATGTGTCAACTTTGTGAAAGTGTTCAATACACCAGGTGTCAACTTTGTGAAAGTGTCCAATACGCCAGGTGTCAACTTTGTGAAAGTGTCCAATACACCAGGTGTCAACTTTGTGAAAGTGTGGAATACACCAGGTGTCAACTTTGTGAAAGTGTGGAATACACCAGGTGTCAACTTTGTGAAAGAGAAAACCCTTACTCCCTAATTGAACATTATATTGTAGAATGTCCCATATTGACTGACTTTCACCCCCCCCTGGGCTAAGGTATGCTGAACTCTGTAAATACTGTCTGAATACTGGAACACTTGATGATATATTGGACTTGTACCCAAGATTAATTATGTAATACATCTGGTATACAATGTTTGTGATGTAACTATAACCTGAGCTTGTAAAAGCATCTTAATCACCGTCAGCGGTTAAGTCCTTAACAACATGCTAGTTAAGATAGCAGCAACATGATAGCAGCAACATGATAGCAGCAACATGATAGCAGCTATCTTACCCTGTCAAAGTACGAGACATAAATGCATGTGTATATAGGATATGTGGAAGCTGGCCAGAACTGCATTTCACCTTTGTAAACGCACATTAATGACACTATGTAAAAAAAGACGCCTTGAACACCGTTTATATAGTAAATATGTATATTTATGTTTCTAGGTTAGAAGAGCATTTTAAAAGCCCTACAATCAATCACAGATTGTTCAATAAATCACTGAACTATATGTATAACAGATCTCTCAGCCTGTCCATGGAGGACAGAAGAAAATGTAAATATGCTGGTTAGCATTGTAAATGTGTGGCCACGTCTGTGGTAGAAAATAATAACAAAACACACACACACACATTTCCACGGACCCTTCCCTACCCCCCCCCCTCTCTCTATTGCTCTTGTACAGGTATACCATACACAGGGAAGGTATACCATACACAGGGAAGGTATACCGCATACACGAGAACCATCACTATGTCATAACGTTATCAAACCAAATTATTGACACTGTAAACCAGTTATAAACATTATTAATAATTAGAAGTTTTTATATTTACACATCTACGGGGGATGTGAGGGTGGGCGGGCGGTGGGCGGTGGTGTAGGCCCTGGGGGTGGAACACCTGTCCCAGGACATCCCGCTGGACACGGCAGAGTAAGTGTCCCAGGACACACCGCTGGACACGGCAGAGTAAGTGTCCCAGGACACACCGCTGGACACGGCAGAGTAAGTGTCCCAGGACACACCGCTGGACACGGCAGAGTAAGTGTCCCAGGACATCCCGCTGGACACGTTCGTCCCACGCTCCGTAGACACGGCAAACCTCACGCCCGTGTCCTCCACCACCGTCAGGTTAAACTCCTCCAGAGTGATGTTGATGGCTGTCACCCCGCCCACTGTCAGCCAGTACAGGTCGGCCTGCAGGGGGTGGACACATTAGGTCAGTACAGGTCAGCCTGCCAGGGGGTGGACACAGTAGGTCAGTACAGGTTAGTGGAAGGCAGGTGTCCAATGTGCGAGGCCCGTCTCCAACATTTGAGGCAAATGTCCAACGATATATTTACTGTTTCATATATTTACTCAGTACAGTGTTTACAGTAAGTAGCAAGCAGGACATATACATGTCCATCTCTCCTCCACACAGAGACCAGTTCCACTACATATAGTGAGTTGGCGCACTCAGCCACAGAACTGTAGAGCACAGTGGGGGTGTAACGCCACTATAATGGAACACCACTATAATGGATACTAAACTAATAATGTGTAAACACTACTTATCCTGAGTATCACTTCCTAAGGTGCACTTGGTAACACTGTTATTGAGCACTGTAATATGAGCTGACATATGATGGTTACACCGGAACCAAAGGTACACTGCCAAACAAGGAAATGCTACACAGGATTAAATACGCTGCCACCATCTGCCTTGACCATTGAGACTATATCAAGCAACGAGGCAAGAAACATTGCTTGACTTGGAGAGTACTTTCTATGACTGTCATTAATTATGGGACGGTTGTCAGCCACTATATCCAAAAGGCTAAGAGGATTCAACAATTGACACAGACGGGAAATTTAACATGAGTTTATTGAGACCAAAATTATGCCAATCACCACTTATAAATCCTACCCTAACACTGGCAAAAATTTAAGAAATTTGGACATGGAACAAAACCTCAGAGATCACACACATTACCTTAAGACCTCTGTCTCTCCCTGGCTGAGATGTTCTTCACAGACCCGCTCTCGATCCTGGTGTCCCGCACTCTCCTCCTAAATCTCTACAGGACCAATATATATACCCCAAAAGGGGGGAGGGGAGATTTACTGTTGCTACCTAGATCAGAAATGCTAGGGGGGTCGGGCCACATGTGCACAAACACTTAAAAAATATTTCAATTAAGCTTGTTTGACATTCACCATACACTCTTCAAGATAGGAGTTATTAATTACGTGTGTGACTGACCTCTGACCTGGCTAAAAGGGGGAGATCCAAGGATGTTTACACATAAGAATCTGGAGTCTAATTCCCTTGCAATGTTTGACAAGAGTATCATGAAATATTACATACTTGAAACTATGCTGACTACGACTAACCCAGGAATTTTTTAATCAACATACAAGATAATCCGGAGGTCATCTGGGCTGACCTCTTGGAGAAGGCTTCCCTGGGTGTGAACTCTAAGGGGGGGGGGAGGTCATGGGTGTTACAGCTGGGGTACTGGGCGCTCAATACCGTATGGTATATTAGTGGTTTGAGCGCGAGGTGGCGCTCACCTTACAGGGCAGCTTGGTATCTAGGCCGTCCATACACACGTACACGGTGTACGTCGAGGTGTTGTCACTGCTGCTCCACCTGTGGATAGTACACCCAAGTTAGTTGACTGTACACACACATGCACACACACACATGGTTGTTAAAGTTTAACCCAACCAAATGTAATGTAATGAAGATAGTTGTAGGGAGCAGGAGGCCAGATTCAAAGTATCATCTGGGAGAGGAAATTCTTCAGGAGTCAGAGAAAGAAAAAGACTTGGGGGTTGATATCATGCCAGACCTGTCTCCTGCAGCACATATCAAGAGGATAACTTCAGCGGCATATGCCAGGCTGGCCAACATACAAACGGCATTCAGAAACTTGTGTAAAGAATCATTCAGAACTTTGTATACCACATATGTCAGGCCAATCCTGGAGTATGCAGCCCCAGCATGGAGTCCATATCTAGTCAAGGATAAGACTAAACTGGAAAAGGTTGAAAGGTTTACCACCAGACTAGTACCCGAGCCGATAGGTATGAGCTACGAGGAGAGACTACGGGAATTAAACCTCACTTCGCTGGAAGACAGAAGAGTTAGGGGGGACATGATCACCACATTCAAGATTCTGAAGGGAAGTGATAGGGTAGATAAAGACAGGCTATTTTACACAAGGGGAACACGCACAAGGGGACACAGGTGGAAACTGAGTGCCCAAATGAGCCACAGAGATATTAGAAAGAACTTTTTTAGTGTCAGAGTGGTTGACAAATGGAATGCATTAGGAAGTGATGTGGTGGAGGCTGACTCCATACACAGTTTCAAGTGTAGATATGATAGAGCCCAATAGGTTCAGGAACCTGTACACCTGTTGATTGACGGTTGAGAGGCGGGACCAAAGAGCCAGAGCTCAACCCCCGCAAGCACAACTAGGTGAGTACACACACACACAAATCCTAAGTTTCCCCGGAATACGACCCGCCAAATCGTTTAATAACCAGATACCCATTCACTGCTGGGTGAACAGGGGCTACAGTTAAGGATTGGCACCCGGCCAATCCTCCGCGGCCAGAATACGAACCCAGACCAAAGCATACACGAAGTGCCGGGTGAGTGTTTTATCACAGCGCCACAGAACTGTATAAGTCCCCTCATTTCTCTCTCCCTCTCCCTTTTCTCTCCCCAGCTCTTCTCTGTCTATGTCCTCCATCTCGTACTCTCTTCCCCTCACCCCTCCCTGCACCCACCAATCTCCCTTCCCCTCTCATCTCTCATCTCCCTCCACCTTCCCCTTATATCTTCCTCTCCCTCTGCATTCCCCCTTACCATCCCTCTCTCTCTCTCTCTCTATCTCCCTCCTCACTCTCTCTTCACCTCTCTGATCCTTGTAGTCTAACACTAACCCTTCATACCAAAAAAAGTGATCAAGCGTGATGGTAGGACAACAGAACACAGGTGTAGGAGAGGGACAGGGCGAGACACACATGGAGATGATCGCTCGTGCATTGAGGGAAATCATTGGGGAATTGAAAGACATGAGGAGAACCCTAATTAAACTACAGATGGAACTAAGTGAAGCGCAGGGGATAAAAAGCCTAAAACAAAAAGCCCTCCACGGACTCAGGCCCAGGCAACCAACCCCCAGGTAGCAGGGAATATAGCAATGGCAGGGGACCTCTACAAAGGGTGCCACCTTTCCTGAAATGCTGAGGAAGAGCCCAGAAGCCATGTCCACAGTCAAGGAAGTTGCAATGAAAACAGTAACTTCATGGGCAGCAGCAAGATGCACAAGTCAGCTAATGGAAAGGAAAAGAGCTGTAGTCGTGGTGGGTATTAAGGTACAAGAAGGTTCCAGGCAGGAAGAGTGGAAGGCTAAGGACAAAGCTGTAGTGTCAGGAATACTGAAGGAGATACAAATGGAAGGGGCTGAGAAATGAATAAAGAAGGGTTTCCGGCTTGGCCATTACAACAAAGACAAAAACCGATTGATGAAGGTAGCATTCAGGAAGGCGGCCACCAATGAGGACATTCTAGTAAAGATCAAACTGCAATATGTAAGGAAATACAGAAATATACCAAAAGGATATCTTGGGGTAACATATCCAAGGAAGGGATCGGAAAGGAAAAGGCTAAGTTATGAAGAAGAAAATATGACAAGATGAGGAATTTCCTAATGGGAATACCATAGGAAACAGAACTCAGAAAAGACTGTACAAGATATGATGAACTATGTCACCTAGAAGTGTCAGGAAGTTGCAAACAGGTTTATCAGGGCCCAAAAGGAGATAACGAAAAGCAACAGAATAATCCATGGTTCAGTCAGGAATGTAAGGTAGCGAAGCAATTGAATTCAAGAACATGGAGAAACCACAGGAATAACAGAACACCAGAGAGCAGGGAGAGATGCCTGAGGGCCAGGAATGAGTACCTCGGAGTGAGGAGAGAAGCTGAGAGACAGTATGAAAGTAACATCACAAGTAAAGCCAAGACCCAACCAAAACTGCTCCACAGCCACATCTGGAGGAAAACAACAGTGAAGGAACAAGTAATGACACTGAGAAAAGGTGAGAACAGATACACAGAAAATGATAAGGAGGTATGTGAAGAACTCAACAAGAGATTCCAGGAGATCTTTACAATAGAGAAAGAAGAAGCCCCTGTACTAAGAGAGGAGGCAAGAAACTAAGCTACCTTGGAGGAATTTGAGTTCACCAGTGATGAGGTCAAAAGGAATCTGTTGGAGCTAAATGTAAAAAAGGCTGTTAGGCCTGACAGAATCTTCCCATGGATTCTAAAAGAGGGTGCAGAAGCACTAAGTGTGCCTCTCTCTCTATGGTGTATAACAAGTTACTGGAAACAGGAGACCTACTGGTAAGCTGGAAGACAGCTAATGTAGTCCCAATATACAAGAAGAGTGACAGGCAAGAGGCGCTGAACTACAGGCCAGTTTTCCTAACTTGTACTCCATGCAAGGAGATGGAGAAGATCGTGAGGAAAGGCTTGTAGAACATCTGGAGGGAAATAGCTTTGTAACATACCACGAACATGGGTTAAGGGATGGTAAATCGTGTCTGACAGGCTTAACAGAATTCTATGATCAGGCGACAAAATTTAGGCAAGAAAGAAAAGGGTGGGCAGACTGCATTTTCTTAGACTGTCAGAAAGCCTTTGACATAGTACCCAATAAAAGGCTGTTGCAAAGGTTGGAGCAACAGGCAGGAGTAAAAGGTAAGGTGCTCTAGTGGATAAGGGAGTATCTAAGCAACAGGAAACAGCGAGTAACGGTGAGGGGGGAGACATCAGAGTGGAGAGATATCACCAGCGGGGTCCCACAGGGCTCTGTACTTGGACCCATCCTGTTTCTGATATATGTAAATGATCTTCCAGAAGGATTGGACTCATTCCTCTCAATGTTTGAATTATGAGAAGACTCCAGACAGATGAAGATAGAAAGAGACACACACTGGGAAGACGGGACACCACGAGCTTAGCTCTCATCCTGTAACTACACTTAGATCATTACTTAGGTAATTACACAGTAATGGCCTCCTCCACCAAACATGCCTGCCAAGTACACAATTAAATCACGCTAATGTGATCCATGATCTAAAACCGTTGGTATACTCTCTAAAATAAGATATTATGGTCCTAACTCTGCTCTCCTCTCAGTATATTATGCACTAATCTACCCCTATCTTAATTATGGTATCTGTGCATGGGGGTCTACCACTGCAAACCACCTTAAGCCCATCATCACACAGCAAAAATCTGCTATCAGAATAATAACAAACTCTGCTGTCAGACAACACTCAGCTCCCTTGTTTAAATCCCTAAACTTGCTAAATATTAACTCCCTCCACACATTCTCTTGTGTCAACTACATTTACAAAACCCTGTTCTTAAAAGGAAACCATGCTCTGAAACTCTCCCTGGACAGATGTAATAGGACCCATTATCACCACACCAGAAATAAATATCTCTTTGATATCCCCAGGGTCAAACTTAATCTGTGTAAACACTCTATGCAAATTAAGGGACCCAGTCTATGGAACTCACTCCCTAGTGAATTGAAAAACTGTCAAACTTTTCCCTCATTTAAAAACAAAAACAAAAAGTACCTAATTTCATCTTCTTAGTTTCCTACACTGAGCTTTAAATTTGCTCTGTGTCTAGTGTTACCCAATCTCCCAATCTTTATGTACTTAATCCAAACAACTTTATCATTGTGTTCATTGCTGTCTTCTTTTATGTGCCAGCCATATGCTGTATTGTACCTGCTAAGTTTTGTTAAACTACCATTCAAGCTGTCATTGTAATCAATCTGAGCTACCTATGTGCTTAATACACCTTCAATTTTCTCTCATCTTTTATTTTTTTTCTTGCTTTGTAACTTATCATTTTTTTTTATAAATTTTGCAAGTATTTACCTACTTAAAATTTTCTTAGATTAAGGACCTGCCCGAAACGCTGCGCGTACTAGTGGCTTTACAAGACTGTAATTACTATGCTATGTATCCTCACAATCCCAATGTACCTTCTTGTATATATATAAATAAATAAATAAATAAATGTAGACGATCTTGGCGTGATGAGGCGGACTCCACAACGGCTCAATAGAACCATGCTGTGTGCAGCCTAGGCAGGCGCGGGTCTCTGATTCCAGGCCCAGAATTCACCAATCACATTTACATTTACCCATCTATTTACAAAACCTATATATCTTTTCTCAGTTATGGCGGCTGTGTTTACATTCATTAAACAGTTTATAAGCGCTGAAGCACTACGAGGTTGTTTACAACAATAATAACCTTGCCTTGAAGCCCACAAACTATTTTAATGAATACAAAACTGGCAGGACTCAGGAAAGATGCACAGGTTTCGCAATTGGTTGCATAAATTCTTGATTAATCCCAGCCCCCAGGCTCTTAATTAAAGACATATATGGAAATAATAACTCGTCTTGGGTTCGAAAATTAAAACTTTCCTTGTTACCATGATAATTCCTTTATTGTTCAAATTAACGTCAGAAAAGAGGCGTACCTGAGTTCATACTGTTGTTGTCTGTGGAGGACGACGACGGGCAGGACGGGGTCGTCCGGCAGGTCGTTGTCCGCCCCCACCACCACCCACGACCCTTCCTGGCTCCTGCCCTCGCTGTTCTGGGACACCACCTCCAGCCTGTAACACATTGTTTGTTACAGCTACCTCCTGCAGCCTGTACCACTACCACCTCCAGCCTGTAACACATTGTTTGTTACAGCTACCTCCTGCAGCCTGTACCACTACCACCTCCAGCCTGTAACACATTGTTTGTTACAGCTACCTCCTGCAGCCTGTACCACTACCACCTCCAGCCTGTAACACATTGTTTGTTACAGCTACCTCCTGCAGCCTGTACCACTACCACCTCCAGCCTGTAACACATTGTGTGTTACAGCTACCTCCTGCAGCCTGTACCACTACCACCTTCAGCCTGTAATACCATTACATTGTTAGAGGTCTGATCTATAGGGAAGGCTGGTGAGGACTGACCTGTAAGGAAGGCTGGTGGACAGGTTGGTGAAGGTAGCGTAGGGCTCCGTCACGTTCACAGTTGCCACTGACGCCCTGCAACAACCACAACTGTTAGTTATACCTCCACACCTGTCCTGGCACAACCACATGTGTCCTGGTACAGTCACACCTGTCCTGGTACAGCCACACCTGTCCTGGCACAACCACATGTGTCCTGGTACAGTCACACCTGTCCTGGTACAGCCACACCTGTCCTGGCACAACCACACCTGTCCTGGTACAGTCACACCTGTCCTGGTACAGCCACACCTGTCCTGGTACAGCCACATGTGTCCTGGTACAGCCACACATGTCCTGGTACAGCCACACCTGTCCTGGCACAGCAACATGTGTCCTGGTACAGTCACACCTGTCCTGGTACAGCCACACCTGTCCTGGCACAACCACATGTGTCCTGGTACAGTCACACCTGTCCTGGCACAACCACACCTGTCCTGGTACAGCCACACCTGTCCTGGCACAACCACACCTGTCCTGGCACAGCCACATGTGTCCTGGTACAGTCACACCTGTCCTGGTACAGCCACACCTGTCCTGGCACAACCACATGTGTCCTGGTACAGTCACACCTGTCCTGGTACAGCCACACCTGTCCTGGTACAGCCACATGTGTCCTGGTACAGTCACACCTGTCCTGGTACAGCCACACCTGTCCTGGTACAGCCACATGTGTCCTGGTACAGCCACACATGTCCTGGTACAGCCACACCTGTCCTGGCACAGCCACATGTGTCCTGGTACAGTCACACCTGTCCTGGTACAGCCACACCTGTCCTGGCACAACCACATGTGTCCTGGTACAGTCACACCTGTCCTGGTACAGCCACACCTGTCCTGGTACAGCCACATGTGTCCTGGTACAGTCACACCTGTCCTGGTACAGCCACACCTGTCCTGGTACAGCCACATGTGTCCTGGTACAGCCACACATGTCCTGGTACAGCCACACATGTCCTGGTACAGCCACATGTGTCCTGGTACAGTCACACCTGTCCTGGTACAGCCACACCTGTCCTGGCACAACCACATGTGTCCTGGTACAGCCACACCTGTCCTGGTACAGCCACATGTGTCCTGGTACAGCCACACATGTCCTGGTACAGCCACATGTGTCCTGGTACAGCCACACCTGTCCTGGCACAACCACATGTGTCCTGGTACAGTCACATCTGTCCTGGTACAGCCACACCTGTCCTGGCACAACCACATGTGTCCTGGTACAGTCACACCTGTCCTGGTACAGCCACACCTGTCCTGGCACAACCACATGTGTCCTGGTACAGTCACACCTGTCCTGGTACAGCCACACCTGTCCTGGTACAGCCACATGTGTCCTGGTACAGTCACACCTGTCCTGGTACAGCCACACCTGTCCTGGTACAGCCACATGTGTCCTGGTACAGCCACACATGTCCTGGTACAGCCACACATGTCCTGGTACAGCCACATGTGTCCTGGTACAGTCACACCTGTCCTGGTACAGCCACACCTGTCCTGGCACAACCACATGTGTCCTGGTACAGCCACACCTGTCCTGGTACAGCCACATGTGTCCTGGTACAGCCACACCACATGTCCTGGTACAGCCACACCTGTCCTGGTACAGCCACACCTGTCCTGGCACAGCCACATGTGTCCTGGTACAGCCACACCTGTCCTGGTACAGCCACACCTGTCCTGGTACAGCCACATGTGTTCTGGTACAGTCACATCTGTCCTGGTACAGCCACACCTGTGTCCTGGTACAGTCACACCTGTCCTGGTACAGCCACACCTGTCCTGGTACAGCCACATGTGTCCTGGTACAGCCACCTGTCCTGGTACAGCCACATGTGTCCTGGTACAGCCACACATGTCCTGGTACAGCCACATGTGTCCTGGTACAGCCACACCTGTCCTGGTACAGCCACATGTGTCCTGGTACAGCCACACCTGTCCTGGTACAGCCACATGTGTCCTGGTACAGCCACACCTGTCCTGGTACAGCCACATGTGTCCTGGTACAGCCACACATGTCCTGGTACAGCCACATGTGTCCTGGTACAGTCACACCTGTCCTGGTACAGCCACATGTGTCCTGGTACAGTCACACCTGTCCTGGTACAGCCACATGTGTCATGGTACAGCCACACCTGTCCTGGTACAGCCACATGTGTCCTGGTACAGCCACACATGTCCTGGTACAGCCACATGTGTCCTGTACAGCCACACATGTCCTGGTACAGCCACACCTGTCCTGGCACAGCCACATGTGTCCTGGTACAGTCCACACAGCCACACCTGTGTCCTGGTACAGTCACACCTGTCCTGGTACAGCCACACCTGTCCTGGTACAGCCACATGTGTCCTGGTACAGTCACACCTGTCCTGGTACAGCCACACCTGTCCTGGTACAGCCACATGTGTCCTGGTACAGCCACACCTGTCCTGGTACAGCCACATGTGTTCTGGTACAGTCACATCTGTCCTGGTACAGCCACACCTACAAAAACGCCTCCAGATTTCTAGCTCCATTTACGGGCTCACCATAGCCCGTGCTACATGGACATTTCGTTCTGAGTAGCTAAATCTTAAACAACACCAACATTCTAGTTCCTGCCATTGCGTTGCTCTACAACAAGTCACTTGAACTCCAAACCTTTCCAGATATTCTAAAAAAAAAAACGAGAGTAACCCAAGTCCATAAATGTGGTGATCTCACTAATGTCAACAACTTCAGACCTAAATGCCTGAAACGCTTTGCGTAATAGTGGCTTTAGGCATTGTATGTACTAGCTCTACCTATAAGTTAAACAATCCTTGTAAATATTTATTGTATGTATGTACCTTACCTAAATAAAATTGTATTGTATAAAATTGTATTGTATTGTATTGTATTGTATAAATCAGTTCTGCCAAACTTGTCAAAAATATTTGAAAAACTAATCTACAAGCAGCTTTACTCTTATCTAGACAAACACAATATACTTAGCTTTTTCCACTATGGTTTCAGACTCAAAAAATCAATAACGATGCACTTATTAGTATGATTAACTTGATACATATATAGCACTTGATAAAAATGAGTTTCCTGTTGGGTTACTTGTTGACCTGCGTAAGGCTTTTGACACTCAACCACCGAAACCTTCTTCTTAAATTACATCATTATGGAATCAGAGGTCACTCCCTCCAATACCTTCAGTCTTGCCTTACTGACAGGCTCCAGTATGTTTCTGTGAATAATTCCATTTCTCCCACCCTACCCATAAACATTGGTGTTCCACAGGGCAGCCACACCTGTTCTGGTACGGCCACACCTGTCCTGGTACGGCCACACCTGTCCTGGTACGGCCACACCTGTCCTGGTACGGCCACACCTGTCCTGGTACGGCCACACCTGTCCTGGTACGGCCACACCTGTCCTGGTATATCCACACCTGCCTTTCGATTGACTACAATTGATGTTTATCATAAAAAAATAAAAATTATTATCTGCTTATTGATTTCTAAATTATCAAGAACTGATATATCTGTCGCGATTATTAATTAGAAAGATAATGTGATCATACATAATAATTCGTTATTTAATGGAATTTTGGAGTTGGGAGCATCATAACACAAGAATATTTATCTATATAACAAAAGTTCAAGTTTATATTTGTTTTAGTTAACCCTACTAACAACGCATTTTCTCTCATTATCATAAAAAGAAAACGAAATTTTAAAGGGTAACTCTAGATCCAAATTTCATTGCCGGCATTTTGGGGAATATGAAGCAGAGTGAATTAGGTCCTAGCTTAAAAATGCAATAAAAGCTAAAACCGAGGCAACTGGCGTGGAAGGCCTACCCTCCGGGGTAGATGGTGGCGGTGACGAGGTAGGAGAAACCTGGACCATTATGGAGGAGTGTTGGAAGAGGTCGCCAGGAGAGGGTCAGGTCACGGTACTCTGGAGTGTTTCTGGCGATCCTGAAGGTGCCAGGACCTACTGCCGGGGCCTCCTCGGGCTCTGAAACGTGTGCAACACAGGTCAATGTTATTGTGTTGCAGACATGAATACGGCAGTCACGTCATATGTTGATATATATGCTAATGAGTACCGTACGGTGCAGTACGCTACAGTACTCTGCAGTACACCACAGTAGGCTACTCCAACATCAACCGCAGTATACTAGCCACTAAAGTACACGGTAGCCTAGCCCACAGCTGTCAGCAATACTCCCAACCACACTACTGTACAGCACACCACAGAAAATAGTAGTACACAGGATAGTAATAGTACACAGGACAGCAACAGAGTACACTGTAACAACAGAGCCACCTACAGGAGGGGGTGACAACAACAACAGAGTACACTGTAACAACAGAGCCACCTACAGGAGGGGTGACAACAGCAACAGAGTACACAGGACCACAGTGACCTGCAGGAGGGGTGACAACAGCAACAGAGTCACCTGCAGGAGGGATGACAACAGCAACAGAGTACACAGGACCACAGAGTCACCTGCAGGAGGGGTGACAACAGCAACAGAGTACACAGGACCACAGAACCATCTGCAGGAGGGGTGACAACAGCAACAGAGTACACAGGACCACAGAGTCACCTGCAGGAGGGGTGACAACAGCAACAGAGTACACAGGACCACAGAGTCACCTGCAGGAGGGGTGACAACAGCAACAGAGTACACAGGACCACAGAGTCACCTGCAGGAGGGGTGACAACAGCAACAGAGTACACAGGACCACAGAGTCACCTGCAGGAGGGGTGACAACAGCAACAGAGTACACAGGACCACAGAGTCACCTGCAGGAGGGGTGACAACAGCAACAGAGTACACAGGACCACAGTCACCTGCAGGAGGGGTGACAACAGCAACAGAGTACACAGGACCACAGTCACCTGCAGGAGGGGTGACAACAGCCACAGCTGACCAATCAGACCACCAGCCGTCGTCGTCCAAGGTGAAGTTAGCAGCCCCAGACCGAAGCCGGACGCGCACCTCGTACTCCTGCCACCAGTACTTCACCTCCACAGACACCAAGTTGGAATTCTTACACTTCCCCGTGGCAGCCTGTGGGACACACAATACAGTTACTCGTGGCACCCTATGGCACCCTGTGGATTAGCAGAGAACAAAATTAAACAACACATCCTCCATCCCAAATATTAAAACAATACAGACTTATGTAGCTTTAAGCAAGTCAATATTTGACTTACGAAGCAAAGAACCAACTGACATTAATCTTTCACATGGAATAATAATTGTTTTTATATCAAATATGAATAAATATTATATATTGTGGGTTGACGCATTGTTAGGTTATAGTTTATGCATAGCTGAGTTAAGTCTAGCATAAGGTCAAGTTAGGGTAGGTTTTCTAGAGTAAGTTTAGATTAGGTCTGGTTATGCCTAGTGTAAGTTAAGTTAGGCTTGGTTAAGTTTAGTGTAAGGTTGGGTAAGGTTAGGTTAAACCTATGTAAGGTTGGGTAAGGTTAGGTTAAACCTATGTAAGGTTGGGTAAGGTTAGGTTAAACCTATGTAAGGTTGGGTAAGGTTAGGTTAAACCCATGTAAGATTGGGTAAGGTTAGGTTAGACTGATGTGATCACATCAGTATACAAAATTTGTTGTCAGAAATTAACATAAATATTGTATTTTTTAATTTTCAATCCCCTGTGGGTGTATGCTGCAGCTGTACTGCCCCCCCCCCCACCTCCCGTGGCTTGGTGAATTGTCAACCACAATGATAATTCCCATTGTTGGGGGACAGGAAGACTGTAACCATCGCAAGGTAGTTAGCTTTAAGGTCCCCATCTCCCCCTCCCCTCTTCCAGGTCAACTACTGACCTTCTCTAGGATACAACCCACAACAGTTTGCTAACTCCCGGATAGATATTTACTACACTGAGTAAGAAAGGGGGGGGGGGAAATATGCTCAACCGTTACTGTTCAGGGGCCAGATTCACGAAAGCACTTACGCAAACACTTACGAACCTGTACATCTTTTCTCAATCTTTGGCGGCTTTGTTTACAATTATTAAACAGTTAATGAGCTCTGAAGCACCAGGAGGCTATTTAGAACAATAACAATAGTTGAATGGGAAGTTTTCATGCTTGTAAACTGTTTAATAAATGTAACCAAAGCCGTCAAAGATTGAGGAAAGATGTATACGTTCGTAAGTGTTTGCGTAAGTGCTTTCGTGAATCTGGCCCCAGATGTGTTGGGGTTGAGAATAAACCACGTATCTATGAGGATTGTTTCTCTTCTAAACGTAACAGCGGCGACGAAGATTATTAAACACCTAAGGCAGAGAGCCCGGGTACAAGACGAGGTGTGAGCACCAGGAGAGAGCAGAGTACGTCGTGCGGATGGGCGGGAAAATTGTAATTTTACATAAACAATATGTAAATATGAAGGCAGAAGCAGAGTTGCACATCAGTGAGTTGTGCAACCCACCGTGTGCCCATGGCTACCCCAGCACTCATCTCAATGGAGCCGGTTAATGCCACCAAGATCTCGTTGCATCTGTGGCTCAGCCTGCTGGAAGCAAACTTCCAGTACCGTGAGATTAAGGAGGACGCCAACAAGAAAGCGGTACTTTTAGTTTCACTGGGTACAGAAGTATACAGTGTCTTGGGTAACTTGTGTGAGCCAGAGCTACTCCACACGAAGACCTGATTACCCTGCTGCAACGTCATTATGTAGTGAAACCTTCATATCACAGGAGTTTGAGGGATTTCCAGAAGAAGACGAAAAAACAGCATGAATCAATATAGGATTTATATGCAGAATTGAAGGCGTTGGCTAACCACTGCAACTTTGGAGCACAGTTTGACGGGCGGGTGAGGGACCAGTTGTTCATGGCAGTAGAAAATGAGATATTTTTCCCTAACCTGGTGGCAGAAAACGTGGATCTACATTCGATGACTTCATGGACAGTGCTAGAAAAGATTTTGAACCTGGAAATGGCTTTTGGAAGTAAGAAATCTACTACTAAAGAAATTATGTTCGTACAGGGGCCAGACCAGATGTAAACACTGTGGGTACATGCACAGTAGTAGCAAGTACAAGTTTGGTGACTATATATGCAACTTTTGTGACAAGGAAGGGCACTTGAGGAACGTGTGGAGAGAATACCTGAACAGAAATAGCAAGGCCTGGGAGAGGAGACCCCCTGGGAATGCAAGAAGAGGTAGTGGTACTGTGGTCAAGACAGTAGAGGAAGGTAATCTGTCTGAAGAAGCTGCAGGTGAGGAAAGCAGACAATATTCGGTGAAAGAAAAGGTATGTTCGGTGAAGTCACAAGTGGTGAATTTTGTAATTAATGGGAAGTTAGTTCCCTTGGAACTGGACACTGGTGCTGCAGTGTCAACATTGTCTAGAGATTGGGCAGATACCTTGCAAATAAATGTAAAAGCAGGTAAAAAATCATTAAGTGCTTATGATAATATACCGATTAAGGTACATGACAAGGTGTCGGCAAAAGTAGGCTATAATAAAAAAGAAATTGACCAGGATTTGTTGTAAGGATCTCATGGAAAAGGCGGGAATTTTCTTGGCGGGCCTAGATGAATTGTAGATAGTTAAAACAATTAATTAAAAGTGACGAAGATATGGTAGTAAAATATTCAGTGGAGGCAGGTAAGCCAATTAACAGCATGGTGGCAAAAATTCACCTGAAAAGTGGGACTTCAGCTAAATTTGTCAATGCAAAAATAGTTGCGTTCCATTACAAGCAACTGGTAGAATCGACCCTGGAAAGCCATGTGGCAGAAGGCATCTTAGAGCCAACTACACATAGTGAGTGGCAGCCCCAATTGTACCAGTGTTGAAGACAGACCGGAAATCCATGAGAATCTGTGCAGATCTTAAAGAATTAAATAACCGCATCCATTGTGAGAAGGTATCCTTTACCTAAGACAGATGAGCTGTTGTGGTTGAGAATAAACCATGTTGACCAAACCACACACTAGAAAGTGAAGGGACGACGACGTTTCGGTCCGTCCTGGACCATTCTCAAATCGATTGTGGTCCAGGACTCAAGTCACAATCGACTTGAGAATGGTCCAGGACAGACCGAAACGTCGTCGTCCTTTCACTTTCAAGATGGGACTGAACCCGGGATTGCGAGTCGAAAACGAAGACCACTGTGCCAGAAAGTGCTCCCTTACCGTGGACCATGTGTCGGGGTGGGCGTGGAGGCGGTAGTCGACCCGGAACACCACGCCCCCCGCGCTAGGGAAGGCGTCCATGGGCGAGGGAAGCGACCACCTGACCTCTAGCTCCCGGGACCCCGCCACCGCCGCCGCCTCCACGCTCTCTGCTGCGTCCGGGAGCACTGAGGACGGGTGTAGTGCCAGGGAGAGATAACGTTAGAACATAATGAATGAGGTAACTGTAGAAGGCCTATTGGCCCATACCAGGCAGCTCCTATTGGTCCATACGAGGCAGCTCCTATTGGTCCATACGAGGCAGCTCCTATTGGTCCATACGAGGCAGCTCCTATTGGTCCATACGAGGCAGCTCCTATTGGCCCATACGAGGCACCTCCTATTGGTCCATACGAGGCAGCTCCTATTGGTCCATACGAGGCAGCTCCTATTGGTCCATACGAGGCAGCTCCTATTGGTCCATACGAGGCAGCTCCTATTGGCCCCTATGAAACAGCTCCTATTGGTACATACGAGGCCGCTCCTATTTATATCCACCCAAACTTTCATACATACGTCTAACCTACACTTGGAACATCCCAGCGTTCCCCGTCTATTGTGTTACATATCAATTTGCTTCATAACTCAAGAATACTGTTTCCAAACCAGTATTTACCCAAGTCTTTCCTGAATCTAAACCTACCAAATTTATATTCATTGTTTCGTGTTCTATTTAGTGTTCAATTATCTAACCCAAAATTATTATCCTCTTTCTTATATCCTTTCATCCGTTTGTGTACTTTTCCTCTTTTTAGAGTATGTAAATAATTTTTTTTTAATTTCTCTCACCACAAGGTTTTCAATTCCCGGAATTTAACTTTGACATTCTTCTATGTGCGAGTTCAAGTGAATTGATGGACAGGAAAACAGAAGAGTAAGGGGAGACATGATAACCACCTACAAAATTCTCAGGGGAATTGACAGGGTAGACAAAGACAAACTCTTTAGCACGGGTGGATCACGAACAAGGGAACACAGGTGAAAACTTGGTACCCAAATGAGCCACAGAGGCGTTAGAAAGAATTTTTTCAGTGTCAGAGTAGTTAACAAATGGAATGCATTAGGCAGTGATGTGGTGGAGGCTGACTCCATACACAGTTTAAAGTGTAGATATGATAGAGCCCAGTAGGCTCAGGAACCTGTACACCAGTTGATTGACAGTTGAGAGGCGGGACCAAAGAGCCAAAGCTCAACCCCCGCAAGCACAACTAGGTGAGTACAACTAGGTGAGCTCACACACTTAATGTGGTGTGTGGAGGAGAGTGTAGAGTCCAACTCCACTCATAACAAGGAGGTATGATAGTGAGATAGGTCAGTGTTACCAGTTCACACAAGATACGCTCAGCTCATATCTGTAATTATTAATTTACTTCTAATACAATTTTTTGTTCTATACCTTTACGCTGCTGAGGTGTTTAAAGTATGCCTGTATGTATTTAAGTTTCATTATGTACATGTGTGTTAGTGTATTATTCTATTAATCGTATGTGTTATATTGCATTATGTTGTTGTTGAATGATCGAGTTGCATGATTGACAGACGGCTCGTGCAACTCAATCATTCAGGTGATTCAATCAATCATTCATTCAACTCAATCATTCATTCATGTAACTCAGTCTACCCTCCTATACTCACCTAGTTGTGTTTGCGGGGGTTAAGCTCTGGCTCTTTGGTCCCGCCTCTCAACCGTCAATCAACTGGTGTACAGATTCCTGAGCCTACTGGGCTCTATCATATCTACCTTTGAAACTGTGTATGGAGTCAGCCTCCACCACATCACTGCCTAATGCATTCCATCTGTTAACTACTCTGACACTGAAAAAGTTCTTTCTAACGTCTCTGTGGCTCATGTGGGTACTCAGTTTCCACCTGTGTCCCCTTGTGTGACTGTGTGCGCGTGTTTATGTTTACGTCAGGGCAGCCAACCTGTGCGATGGTTGTCTATTCTTGTTTCTCTTGTATATACTTATATATTGTCAATTTATTATGTAGTTGAACATCTGTGTATGTTGCAGAGTGTGTGTAATTTACGTCGGCGTATTTTATGTTTTCTGTAAGCTGATGTGTGGACACACAAGAGGAGGAAGTGTTCAGTGATCTGTTGGTTTTGGACGGGGTAACATCTTGGTGTTGTGCTCTGTTGAGCTGTTTTACATTAAGGATGTTTATATATCTGCTGTCTTCTTACCAGTAAGATAAGAAGGGGATTATTGTGTGGATCAGAGTTGATAAGTGTTATTACTACATTTTCAAATGATAACTCCCGTGATGTAGTGACTTATATTGTTAAAGCCGTTTGGGGACTCTCATATTTTCAAGTGTGTGTCGACTCTAACCTTTGAAAGGAGATTCCTGATTTGGCCAGATTTATCAGTCATTTTGAGCTCTAACTTTTGAAGACAAGTTATTGACTCGCCATTTGTCGGTTATTGTTGACTCTAACTTCTGTAGAGAGTTTCTTGATTAATATTTGAGTCATTGTAAGTGGACTCGTGACTTTTGAGAAAAAAAAGTTTTTCGACTGCCATTTACCGGTCCAGTTGGGACTTAGCTTTTCTAAAGGCAAAGTGATGGTTCCCTGACTTGTGTTTATTGATGTTCATGCTGAGACATTATATGATAAGTGCACACACACACACACACACGCACACACACACACACACACACACACACACAGTGCACACACACACACACACACACACACACACACACACACACACACACACACACACACACACACACACACACACACACACACACACACACACACACACAATGCTTGTCATAGTGAGGGTACACCTACCCACAGCATAGTTCCTGACGAGGTGGGTAAAGTTGAAAGTTTGGTTACTGAGGGAGTTTGAGGCCTGGAAGAGGACGCGGAGGAAGGGCTCCGCCGCGGGGTACTCCGGCGGCCTCCAGAAGCAGCAGGTGGTCAGGTCATCACACGTGTCCTTCACGCCCCCGCTGTCACCACTACACTGGGACCTGTGGGGCGTTGATACACTGAGTGTACGGTAAGTGGGAGGAAGGATGGGGGGAGGGGATCCTGTCTACACAGAGAGGAGGCTCACACACACACACACACACACACACACACACACACACACACACACACACACACACACACACACACACACACACACACACACACACACAATCTATAAGGGAGTATCTAAGCAATAGGAAGCAGAGAGTTACGGTGAGGGGTGAGACCTCCGATTGGCGTGAAGTCACCAGTGGAGTCCCACAGGGCTCTGTACTCGGTCCTATCTTGTTTCTGATATATGTAAATGATCTCCCGGAGGGTATCGATTCATTTCTCTCAATGTTTGCGGACGATGCTAAAATTATGAGAAGGATTAAAACAGAAGAGGACTGTTTGAGGCTTCAAGAAGACCTAGACAAGCTGAAGGAATGGTCGAACAAATGGTTGTTAGAGTTTAACCCAACCAAATGTAATGTAATGAAGATAGGTGTAGGGAGCAGGAGGCCAGATACAAGGTATCATCTGGGAGAGGAAATTCTTCAGGAGTCAGAGAAGGAAAAAGACTTGGGGGTTGATATCACGCCAGACCTGTCTCCTGCAGCACATATCAAGCGGATAACATCAGCGGCATATGCCAGGCTGGCCAACATACGAACGGCATTCAGAAACTTGTGTAAAGAATCATTCAGAACTTTGTATACCACATATGTCAGGCCAATCCTGGAGTATGCAGCCCCAGCATGGAGTCCATATCTAGTCAAGGATAAGACTAAACTGGAAAAGGTTCAAAGGTTTGCCACCAGACTAGTACCCGAGCTGAGAGGTATGAGCTACGAGGAGAGACTACGGGAATTAAACCTCACTTCGCTGGAAGACAGAAGAGTTAGGGGGGACATGATCACCACATTCAAGATTCTGAAGGGAATTGATAGGGTAGATAAAGACAGTCTATTTAACACAAGGGGAACACGCACAAGGGGACACAGGTGGATACTGAGTGCCCAAATGAGCCACAGAGATATTAGAAAGAACTTTTTTAGTGTCAGAGTGGTTGACAAATGGAATGCATTAGGAAGTGATGTGGTGGAGGCTGACTCCATACACAGTTTCAAGTGTAGATATGACAGAGCCCGATAGGCTCATGAATCTGTACACCTGTTGATTGACGGTTGAGAGGCGGGACCAAAGAGCCAGAGCTCAACCCCCGCAAACACAACTAGGTGAGTACAACTAGGTGAGTACACACACACACACACACACACACACACACACACACACACACACACACACACACACACACACACACACACACACACACACACACACAAATCACAGGTAGAAACTGAGCGCCCAAATGAGCCACAGAGATATTAGAAAGAACTTTTTTAGTGTCAGAGTGGTTGACAAATGGAATGCATTAGGGGGTGATGTGGTGGAGGCTGACTCCATACACAGTTTCAAGTGTAGATATGATAGAGCCCAATAGGCTCAGGAATCTGTACACCTGTTGATTGACGGTTGAGAGGCGGGACCAAAGAGCCAGAGCTCAACCCCCCAAACACAACTAGGTGAGTACAACTAGGTGACTAGGTGAGTACACACACACACACACACACACACACACACACACACACACACACACACACACACACACACACACACACACACACACACACACACACACACACACGAGCGACCACAGTGTACTGGTGTTTGAGTACCTGATTGAAGAAGGGTTATTGAACCCGAGGAGGGATACCGAAACCAAAAGGTTAGCATACCGAAAGGGAAACTATGAGGAGATAAGAAAATGCCTAGCAGATATAGCATGGGAAACAGAGCTCAGGGAAAAGACGGCCCAAGATATGATGGAATACATCACGCAAAAATGCAAGGACGCAGCAAACAAGTTTGTCCCAGTGCAAAAGGAAAACAGTGAAATGAAGATGAGAAACCCATGGTTTAATCAGAGATGTAGGCTAGCTAAGCAGCAAAGTAAAAGGGCATGGAGAAACTATAGGAATAACAGGACACTGGAGAGCTGAGAAAGATACCAGAATGCCAGGAATGAATATGTCAGGATGAGAAGAGAGGCAGAAAGACAATACGAAAATGACATCGCAAGCAAGGCAAAGACTCAGTATAAATTGCTGCATAGCCACATCAGGAGAAAAACAACAGTAAAGGAATAGGTTATGAAATTAAGGATAGGGACAGAAGGATTCACAACAAACGACAAGGAAGTGTGTGAGGAACTGAATAAGAAATTCCAAGAGGTCTTCACCTTAGAGCAAGGAGAAATCCCAGAGATAAGAGAGGGAATAGCTAACCAGGAACCACTGGAAGAGTTTGAGATTACCAGCGGGGAAGTAAGGAAGTGTTTACTAGAATTGGATGTGACAAAGGCTATAGGCCCAGATGGAATCTCCCCTTGGATACTAAAGGAAGGAGCAGAAGAACTATGCCTGCCACTCTCCATAGTGTATAACAAATCACTGGCAACAGGGGAACTGCCAGAAATTTGGAAAGCAGCTAACGTAGTCCCGATATACAAGGGGATAGACAGGAGGCACTGAATTACAGGCCAGTGTCCCTAACCTGCATACCATGCAAGATGATGGAGAAGATTGTGCGAAGAAAGCTAGTGGAGCACCTGGAGCGAAAGAACTTTGTAACACAGCATCAACATGGATTCAGGGATGGCAGGTCCTGCCTCACAGGGTTACTTGAATTCTACGACCAGGCAACAAAAATAAGGCAAGAAAGAGAAGGGTGGGCAGACTGCATATTTTTGGATTGTCAGAAAGCCTTTGATACAGTGCCACACAAGAGGCTAGTGAAAAAACTGGAGATGCAGGCTGGAGTGAAAGGGAAGGTACTCCGTTGGATACAGGAGTACCTAAGTAACAGGAGACAACGAGTCAGTGTGAGGGGTGAGGTCTCAGATTGGCGAGACGTTACGAGTGGAGTACCGCAGGGGTCAGTCCTTGGACCTATACTGTTTCTGATATATGTAAATGATCTTCCAGAGGGTATAGAATCGTTTCTCTCAATGTTTGCCGATGATGCAAAAATTATGAGGAGGATTGAAACTGAGGACGATAGTAGGAGGCTACAAGATGACCTAGACAGACTGAGTGAATGGTCCAACAAATGGCTGTTGAAGTTCAACCCGAGTAAATGCAAAGTAATGAAACTAGGCAGTGGAAATAGGAGGCCAAACACAGGATACAGAATAGGAGATGAAGTACTTAATGAAACGAACAGAGAGAAAGATCTAGGAGTTGATATCACACCAAACCTGTCTTCTGAAGCCCACATAAAAAGAATAACGTCTGCGGCTTATGCGAGGCTGGCTAACATCAGAACAGCGTTCAGGAACCTGTGTAAGGAATCATTCAGAATCTTGTACACCACATATGTAAGACCAATCCTGGAGTATGCGGCCCCAGCATGGAGCCCGTACCTTGTCAAGCACAAGTCGAAGCTGGAAAAAGTCCAAAGGTATGCCACTAGACTAGTCCCAGAACTAAGAGGCATGAGTTACGAGGAAAGGCTGCGGGATATGCACCTTACGACACTGGAAGACAGAAGAGTAAGGGGAGACATGATCACAACGTACAAAATCCTCAGAGGAATCGACCGTAAACAAGGATAAACTATTCAACACTGGTGGGACGCGAACAAGGGGACACAGGTGGAAACTGAGTACCCACATGAGCCACAGAGACGTTAGAAGGAACTTTTTCAGTGTCAGAGTAGTTAACAGATGGAATGCATAGGCAGTGATGTGGTGGAGGCTGACTCCATACACAGTTTTAAATGTAGATATGATAGAGCCCAGTAGGCTCAGGAATCTGTACACCAGTTGATTGACGGTTGAGAGGCGGGACCAAAGAGCCAAAGCTCAACCCCCGCAAGCACAAATAGGTGAGTACAAATAGGTGAGTACACACACACACACACACACACACACACACACACACACACACACACACACACACACACACACACACACACACACACACACACACACATTAATGAGAAGAGTTGTGACAGACGAGGATTGTAGGATCCTCCAAGAGGACTTAAACAGGCTGCAGAGATGGTCAGGGAAATGGCTACTGGAGTTTAACACCAGTAAATGTAAAGTTATGGAAATGGGATCAGGTGACAGGAGACCAAAGGGACAGTACACAATGAAGGGGAACAGCCTACCTGTAACGATTCGAGAAAGAGACCTGGGAGTGGATGTGACACCTAATCTAACTCCTGAGGCACATATAAATAGGATAACGACAGCAGCGTACTCTACACTGGCGAAAATTAGAACTTCATTCAGAAACCTAAATGAGGAAGCTTTTAGGGCGCTTTACACTGCCTACGTGAGACCCGTCTTAGAGTATGCCGCGCCATCATGGAGCCCCCACCTGAAGAAACACAAAGAAACTGGAGAAGGTTCAGAGGTTTGCGACGAGGCTTGTCCCAGAGTTACGAGGGATGGGATATGAAGAGCGGCTGAAGGAACTGAACCTAACGACACTAGAGAAAAGAAGCGAGAGAGGAGATATGATAGGGACATATAAAATACTCAGGGGAATTGACAAAGTGGAAATAGATGAAATGTTCACACGTAATAATAACAGAACGAGGGGACATGGGTGGAAACTGGAAACTCAGATGAGTCACAGAGATGTTAGGAAGTTTTCTTTTAGCGTGAGAGTAGTAGAAAAATGGAATGCACTTGGGGAACAGGTTGTGGAAGCAAATACTATTCATACTTTTAAAACTAGGTATGATAGGGAAATGGGACAGGAGTCATTGCTGTAAACAACCGATAGCTAGAAAGGCGGGATCCAAGAGTCAATGCTCGATCCTGCAAGCACATATAGGTGAGTACATATAGGTGAGTACACACACACACACACACACACACACACACACACACACACACACACACACACACACACACACACACACACACACACACACACACACACAGAGCAAAGAACAAAGCTCAACCCCCGCAAACACAACTAGGTGAATACACACACACAGGAAACAAATAGGTCGGGAGTCAATATATTAAACAACTAACGGTTAGAAAGGCGGGTTCCAAGAGCTAACAAATCGATCCTGTAAGTACAAATAGTACAAACATACACGTACATGACTGACCTACCCTTCAGCGTTCATAGAGACGAGAAGGTCTGTAGGTGCCCGAATGACGGAGCCCAAGAGCTCCTCTTCCCTCCCAGACAACACACTGACAACCACAGTTAGGTAAACAAACAAACACACACCTTCAGTGTGTATAGACCTCACACACAGAATGTTGACCAGACCACACACTAGAAGGTGAAGGGATGACGACGTTTCTGTCTGTCCTGGACCATTCTCAAGTCGATTTTGAGAATGGTCTTCAAGTCACAATCGACTTGAGAATGGTCCAGGACGGACCGAAACGTCGTCGTCCCTTCACCTTCTAGTGTGTGTGGTCTGGTCAACATTCCTCAGCCACGTTATTGTGACTCATCGCCTGCTTACACGCAGAACTTTTACTGAAAGTAAACTGACTTTTAGAGAACTTGTAAAAAGAGACTTACCCTTCAGTGTGTAAAGTTGAGATGAGATAAGGTTTGTAGCTGGCGGTCTGGACGGGGTTGTAAGGCAGGGTCCAGTTGCACTTAAGAACCTCCAAGTTGTAGGACACGCACTGGAAGTTCTCCACGTCCAGGGGCTGGTCTGTATGGGAGGAGGTCTGATGCCTACAGCAAGCCACAATAATCCCAGGGGCCAGATTCACGAAAGCACTTACGCAAGCACTTACGAACGTGTACATCTTTCCTCAATCTTTGACGGCTTTGGTTACATTTATTAAACAGTTTACAAGCATGAGAACTTGCCAATCAACTGTTGTTATTGTTATAAACAGCCTCCTGGTGCTTCGGAGCTCATTAACTGTGTAATAATAAAGATTGAGAAAAGATGTACAGGGGCCAGATTTACGAAACAGTTACGCAAGTACTTACGAACCTGTACATCTTTTCTCAATCTTTGGCGGTTTTGTTTACAATTATTACACAGTTAATGAGCTCCGAATTGGTGCTTTCCGGGAGACATCTCTCGTCACGCAAGGTGCAGTCGCACCTCCACAGGTGCAGGTCCGCGGTTGTTCAACGTCCTCCCAGCGACTATAAGAAATATTGCCGGAACAACCGTGGACATCTTCAAGAGAAAACTGGACGGTTTTCTAAGAGAAGTTCCGGATCAGCCGGGCTGTGGCCCTGCGGGCCGCTCCAAGCAACAGCCTGGTGGACCAGACTCACAAGTCGAGCCTGGCCTCGGGCCGGGCTTGGGGAGTAGAACTCCCAGAACCCCATCAACCAGGTATCACAGATCACCAGTATCTATTGATACTGGTAATGGCTCAAAAGGGCCACCACTTACGGGCTATTCATGCCCGTGCCACCGTTTGGGTGGCTTAATCTTCATCATTCAATCAATCAGGTGCTTTCCCAAACGTCACAGCCCCGCTCCTGTGCCAGGTTAAGTCCACTACGGGCTCGCCATAGTCCGTGCTACTTGGAACATTTTGTTCAGATTAACTGAATCTAAAACAGCAATAACTTACTCCTGATAATTCTTCTTCCATTCCCGTCATCACGGACGCGTCTCTGACAGCCTGCCACCCAAAAGAGACAGTACACATAGCGACTATGGACGGAACGTTCACAATACGTACGGCTGAATGCAAAAAAAGTTCCCGTTTAATGCTATTCATTTTGAAGGAAGAAGACAACACCCAAACCTAACCTTCCTTAGGCCTAGAGTGATACATATGTGATAGTTAGTGATAGAGTGATAACATATGATACATATGTTACAGGCCTAGAGTGATACATATGTTAGTGATAGAGTGATAACATATGATACATATGTTACAGGCCTAGAGTGATAGTTAGCCGGTGTTAGTTCATGTTCTTGTTGAACATGAACTAACATATGTGAAGAACACTGTGGCTCACTGTTCTTCATAACACTGTGTCTCAGTGTTCTTCATATACATATATATGTATACATATATATGTATATATATGTATACATACATATATATACCTATATATATGTATATATATGTCACATATACATATATATGTATATGTGACATGTATACATATATGTATACATATCGAGGTACCCCCCCAAGGTGAAACTACCTACTGACCCCCCCCCCCCCGGATGGGACCCCACAACAAGCTGACTCCTGGGGAACCTATTTACTGCTGGGTGAACAGGTGCATTAGGTGATAGGAAACACGCCCAATCACTTCTGTTCCGCCCGAGATTCGAACCCAGAATTCTCGAATGTGATTCGTCAGCCCGTCCTCCAAACAAAGACCCAAAGTCCATTCCATCCCCCCGCCAAACCCCAGCTGTTTATGAATGAAAAACTGTTTACACACGACTCACAACTCCTGCCGTCCGAACACTTCCGGAACAAGTGCTTCACTGACGAATTTTGTTCGAACCAAACGGTAGCCGGTCGGCCGAACGGACAGCACGCTGGACTTGTGATCCTGTGGTCCTGGGTTCGATCCCAGGCGCCGGATAGAAACAATGGGCAGAGTTTCTTTCACCCTATGCCCATGTTACCTAGCAGTAAAATAGGTACCTGGGTGTTAGTCAGCTGTCACGGGCTGCTTCCTGGGGGTGGAGGCCTGGTCGAGGACCGGGCCGCGGGGACACTAAAGCCCCGAAATCATCTCAAGATAACCTCAAGAAGATAACGCTGTAAAGGCTTCACCCACGTACTACAAATACAAATAATCGCCAACAGAACCTAAACACCTAACCTAACTATACGTAGAATTTGAATGTTTATTAATATTAATTTATATATGCGAATGAACCAATTTTTAATAAACAGTATGTTAAAACTGATGAATGGGTCTGGGGAGGACGGCCGCTGCTTTAACCAGCCTAGTGTGAGGACGGCCGCTGCTTTAACCAGCCTAGTGTGAGGACGGCCGCTGCTTTAACCAGCCTAGTGTGAGGACGGGTTGAATTCGTGCATATATCTCTTGAAATTCCAGAAAGTGATATCAGCTTAACTGATAATTTACAAGTAAATGTTCATGATGTAATAGTGTGTGTGTGGAGTACTCACAGTCCACGGACAGAGTACTCACAGCCCACGGACAAAGTACTCACAGCCCACGGACAGAGTACTCACAGCCCACGGACAGAGTACTCACAGCCCAGGGACAGAGTACTCACAGCCCACGGACAGAGTACTCACAGCCCACGGACAGAGTACTCACAGCCCACGGACAGAGTACTCACAGCCCACGGACAGACTACTCACACCCCACGGACAGAGTACTCACAGCCCAGGGACAAAGTACTCACAGTCCACGGACAGAGTACTCACACCCCACGGACAAAGTACTCACACCCCACGGACAGAGTACTCACACCCCACGGACAAAGTACTCACACCCCACGGACAAAGTACTCACAGCCCACGGACAAAGTACTCACACCCCACGGACAGAGTACTCACAGCCCACGGACAAAGTACTCACACCCCACGGACAGAGTACTCTCAGCCCAGGGACAAAGTACTCACAGTCCACGGACAGAGTACTCACACCCCACGGACAAAGTACTCACACCCCACGGACAGAGCACTCGCAGCCCACGGACAGAGTACTCACAGCCCAGGGACAGAGTACTCACAGTCCACGGACAGAGTACTCACACCCCACGGACAGAGTACTCACAGCCCAGGGACAAAGTACTCACAGTCCACGGACAGAGTACTCACACCCCACGGACAAAGTACTCACACCCCACGGACAAAGTACTCACACCCCACGGACAAAGTACTCACAGCCCACGGACAGAGTACTCACAGCCCACGGACAGAGTACTCACAGCCCACGGACAGAGTACTCACAGCCCCCGGACAAAGTACTCACACCCCACGGACAAAGTACTCACACCCCACGGACAAAGTACTCACAGCCCACGGACAGAGTACTCACAGCCCACGGACAGAGTACTCACAGCCCCCGGACAGAGTACTCACAGCCCACGGACAGAGTACTCACAGCCCACGGACAGAGTACTCACAGCCCACGGACAGAGTACTCACAGCCCACGCGGACGACACCTAAGCATTTGTTGTCGCCAGAGGAGTCAGTACACGCCAGCATGTAGCGGACGGGCGCCGCCTCCGTCAGGTCCACTGAGATGGTGTACTCATCCACCACCTCCACCACCAGGCAGGTACAGGTCCACCAGGCAGGTACAGGGCCACCAGGCAGGTACAGGGCCACCAGGCAGGTACAGGGCCACCAGGCAGGTACAGGGCCACCAGGCAGGTACAGGGCCACCAGGCAGGTACAGGGCCACCAGGCAGGTACAGGGCCACCAGGCAGGTACAGGGCCACCAGGCAGGTACAGGGCCACCAGGCAGGTACAGGGCCACCAGGCAGGTACAGGGCCACCAGGCAGGTACAGGGCCACCAGGCAGGTACAGGGCCACCAGGCAGGTACAGGGCCACCAGGCAGGTACAGGGCCACCAGGCAAGTACAGGTCCACCAGGCAGGTACAGGGCCACCAGGCAGGTACAGGGCCACCAGGCAGGTACAGGGCCACCAGGCAGGTACAGGGACCACCAGGCAGGTACAGGGACCACCAGGCAGGTACAGGACCACCAGGCAGGTACAGGGCCACCAGGCAGGTACAGGGCCACCAGGCAGGTACAGGGCCACCAGGCAGGTACAGGGCCACCAGGCAGGTACAGGTCCACCAGGCAGGTACAGGGCCACCAGGCAGGTACAGGGCCACCAGGCAGGTACAGGGCCACCAGGCAGGTACAGGGCCACCAGGCAGGTACAGGGCCACCAGGCAGGTACAGGGCCACCAGGCAGGTACAGGTCCACCAGGCAGGTACAGGGCCACCAGGCAGGTACAGGTCCACCAGGCAGGTACAGGGCCACCAGGCAGGTACAGGTCCACCAGGCAGGTACAGGTCCACCAGGCAGGTACAGGGCCACCAGGCAGGTACAGGGCCACCAGGCAGGTACACGGTACACATCAAGCAACATCAGACAAAGAGAACACAAAAGCAATGTTAATACCTACATGCTTCTATCTACGATTTCAATAAAACTACCATTATTATCTATTCCCTCATGTTTTTTTTGTTCTTTAAGACAAATAAAACTTTGCATGTAACTCAATTGCTAACTTTAATACATTCATAAATCAACTAAATGTTTACTATCATAATTAAAATATTTTTACTTCTATTAGTCTGCTTTTATTTTAGTTTCCCTCTTTAAAGCATGTGACGTCTTTATATTACCATTTTCTTTCTTACAGGACATTCAACGTTAACTAAACTGTTTAGTTAAAAATGTTTTATTTAATATGGACACACAACAGCCACACAAGACTAATATAACCCATTAATGGGGACCATATGCCAATGGGGGACATTACTATTGGAGGACAGACAGTGCGTGGCCCTTCACACTGGTGTAATTATATGCCACACCTGTACACAAACATGAAGAGGATCACAGGCCACACCTGTACACAAACATGGACAAGATCACAGGCCACACCTGTACACAAACATGGACAAGATCACAGGCCACACCTGTACACAAACATGGACAAGATCACAGGCCACACCTGTACACAAACATGAAGAGGATCACAGGCCACACCTATACACAAACATGGACAAGATCACAGGCCACACCTGTACACAAACATGGGCAAGATCACAGGCCACACCTGTACACAAACATGGACAAGATCACAGGCCACACCTGTACACAAACATGGACAAGATCACAGGCCACACCTGTACACAAACTTGGACAAGATCACAGGCCACACCTGTACACAAACATGGACAAGATCACAGGCCACACCTGTACACAAACATGGGCAAGATCACAGGCCACACCTGTACACAAACTTGGACAAGATCACAGGCCACACCTGTACACAAACATGGACAAGATCACTGGCCACACCTGTACACAAACATGGGCAAGATCACTGGCCACACCTGTACACAAACATGGACAAGATCACAGGCCACACCTGTACACAAACATGGACAAGATCACAGGCCACACCTGTACACAAACCACGGACAAGATCACAGGCCACACCTGTACACAAACATGGGCAAGATCACTGGCCACACCTGTACACAAACATGGACAAGATCACTGGCCACACCTGTACACAAACATGGACAAGATCACTGGCCACACCTGTACACAAACATGGGCAAGATCACTGGCCACACCTGTACACAAACATGGACAAGATCACAGGCCACACCTGTACACAAACATGGACAAGATCACAGGCCACACCTGTACATAAACATGGACAAGATCACAGGCCACACCTGTACACAAATATGGACAAGATCACAGGCCACACCTGTACACAAACACGGACAAGATCACAGGCCACACCTGTACACAAACATGGGCAAGATCACAGGCCACACCTGTACACAAACATGGACAAGATCACAGGCCACACCTGTACACAAACATGGACAAGATCACAGGCCACACCTGTACACAAACATGGACAAGATCACAGGCCACACCTGTACACAAACATGGACAAGATCACAGGCCACACCTGTACATAAACATGGACAAGATCACAGGCCACACCTGTACACAAACATGGACAAGATCACAGGCCACACCTGTACACAAACATGGACAAGATCACAGGCCACACCTGTACACAAACATGGACAAGATCACAGGCCACACCTGTACACAAACATGGACAAGATCACAGGCCACACCTGTACACAAACATGGACAAGATCACAGGCCACACCTGTACACAAACATGGACAAGATCACTGGCCACACCTGTACACAAACATGGGCAAGATCACTGGCCACACCTGTACACAAACATGGACAAGATCACAGGCCACACCTGTACACAAACACGGACAAGATCACAGGCCACACCTGTACACAAACATGGACAAGATCACAGGCCACACCTGTACACAAACATGGACAAGATCACAGGCCACACCTGTACACAAACACGGACAAGATCACAGGCCACACCACAAACACGGACAAGATACACAAACACGGACAAGATCACAGGCCACACCTGTACACAAACACGGACAAGATCACAGGCCACACCTGTACACAAACATGGACAAGATCACAGGCCACACCTGTACAGGCCACACCACACCTGTACACAAACATGGACAAGATCACAAGATCACAGGCCACACCTGTACACAAACACGGACAAGATCACAAGCCACACAAGATCACTGTACACAAACATGGACAAGATCACAGGCCACACCTGTACACAAACAAGATCACGGACAAGATCACAGGCCACACCTGTACACAAACATGGACAAGATCACAGGCCACACCTGTACACAAACATGGACAAGATCACAGGCCACACCTGTACACAAACATGGACAAGATCACTGGCCACACCTGTACACAAACATGGACAAGATCACAGGCCACACCTGTACACAAACATGGACAAGATCACTGGCCACACCTGTACACAAACATGGACAAGATCACAGGCCACACCTGTACACAAACATGGACAAGATCACAGGCCACACCTGTACACAAACATGGACAAGATCACAGGCCACACACTTACACAAACATGGACAAGATCACAGGCCACACCTGTACACAAACATGGACAAGATCACAGGCCACACCTGTACACAAACACGGACAAGATCACAGGCCACACCTGTACACAAACATGGACAAGATCACAGGCCACACCTGTACACAAACATGGACAAGATCACAGGCCACACACTTACACAAACATGGAAGAATTGAAGAGTTGGAGGTAACATGTTACTTGGTTCCACAAAACAGTGGTTCACACAAGGGACTCACCAGCTGGAAGAACGTTGTTGTGACAAGAGCCAATGAGCAGATGTAGCGAGATGTGGTGCCTTACAGCACACCACATACTTAAAATATGGGTGTCGAACCCTTCATGCACACAGCCTTTCTCCTGTGCCAGGTAATTCCAGTACGGGGCTCACCATAGCCCGTGCTACTTGGAACTTTGGGTTCTGATTAGCTGACTCTTAAACAACCACAACAACGCTTCATGCCCACTTGACCCAAGGCCAGCTAGATCAACTACACCCGCGCTGATTGATTCAGCCGTAACTGGGCCTTTATCATAGAGAGTGGGGCCCAGGAGCTGAGGCCCACGGGGGAGACATCTCCCGTCACGCAGGGTGCAGTCGCACCTCCACAGATCTCCAGTATCAGCTAAAGATACTGGTAATGGCTCAAAAGGGCCACCACTTACGGGCTATTCATGCCCGTGCCACCTTTTGAGTGGCTTAATCTTCATCAGTCAATCAATCTGAGGCCGAGATTTATCCTGGGCGTCTCCCAGGAGTCGCAGCTACCTGGGAGGATTAAGCTGATGTTAAACTGGGAGAGCATGTACGACAAACACATGCACTGTGAATTAAAAATTAAGCCCAAATTTTAGTCCTACTCATGAACACCTTCTCAGGATGTGCTCGTGTAAGCTGTAACCTGACTCAAAGACAGTTTATTTTAATATACGGTTTAACCAAGTACTGTATTTTCTCAAATATACTATTCATGAACATTATAAGTCGTTGTATAGTTAGGTCTAGTATAGGTTTGGTTAGTTGCTCTAGTTCTGTTGACATTATTCAACCCGTTTTCAGACTGAGTCCATTCCATCCAGCGGTCGACCCCAAAGATGCATTCATCAATTTTAACCAACCCGTCCTCCAAACAAAGACCCAAAAGTGATTCTATCCCCCCGCCAAACCCCAGCTGTTTATGAATGAAAAACGGTTTACACACGACTCACAACTCCTGCCGTCCGAACACTTCCGGAACAAGTGCTTCACTGACGAATTTTGTTCGAACCAAACGGTAGCCGGTCGGCCGAACGGACAGCACGCTGGACTTGTGATCCTGTGGTCCTGGGTTCGATCCCAGGCGCCGGATAGAAACAATGGGCAGAGTTTCTTTCACCCTATGCCCATGTTACCTAGCAGTAAAATAGGTACCTGGGTGTTAGTCAGCTGTCACGGGCTGCTTCCTGGGGGTGGAGGCCTGGTCGAGGACCGGGCCGCGGGGACACTAAAAGCCCCGAAATCATCTCAAGATAACCTCAAGAAGATAACGCTATAAATGCTTCACCCACGTACTACAAATACAAATAATCGCCAACAGAACCTAAACATCTAACCTAACCTATGCCTATATATACACAATATGCTAATATATTATAATATTAATCTATATTTGAGAAAATTCCTGTTTTGAATGAACAGCATGTTAAAATTGATGAATGCGTCTTTGGGGTCGACCGCTGGATGGAATGGACTCCGTCTGAGAACGGGTTGGATAAGGAGGCAAGAGATATTAAAAAACTGGTCAAGAGGGTGTCGAAACCCACCTTCTCCCCCCCTGGCTTCAGCCAACTGGCACTTTAGAAGACGAGATGGGAGCCAATTGAACCTGTGAAGGCACTCCCACAGCAAGGGCATGCCAGGCTGTTGCTTCTAGGGCCTGGCACTGCCATAATGGCACTAACAAGTGCCGGTTTATCCCCTCAATATTAACTGCCACTTGTACAGCTATCAACCCCGTCCTCTCACATAATACGTCGCATTTCTTACGGAATCGATCAAACTATTAAATATGCCAAGTTTCTATACATTCGGCCCCGATATGTTAGGTGGGTTGCTTGGGTTGATACGTGTCTGGTTTGGTAAAAGAGTTGTATGTTTACAGAATTGTAAATTGAGAGAACTGACTGCACGCGCACCAACGCACGCACGCGCACACACACACACATATGGGGCCGGTGGCTGAGTGGACAGCACGCTTGATACGTAGTCATGTGGACCGGGGTTGATTCTCGGGGCCGGCAGAAACAAATGGGCATAGTTTCTTTCACCCTGATGCCCCTGTTACCTAGCAGTAAATAGGTACCTGTGCTGGGGCCAGATTCACGAAAGCACTTACGCAAGCACCTACGAACGTGTACATCTTTCCTCAATCTTTGACGGCTTTGGTTACATTTATTAAACAGTTTACAAGCATGAAAACTTCCCATTCAACTGTTGTTATTGTTATAAACAGCCTCCTGGTGCTTCGGAGCTCATTAACTGTTTAATAATTGGAAACAAAGCCGCCAAAGATTGAGAAAAGATGTACAGCTTCGTAAGTGCTTGCGTAAGTGCTTTCGTGAATCTGGCCCCCTCCGCAAGCACAACTAGGTGAATACACACACACACACACACAGTTTAAACATGCCAAACACAGCCAAGAACTACTTTATTTACAAGTGTTTTACTAATTTACATAAGAGATAAACAGATTTATACAGACGCCTCTACCGATTAACATGAATGGATTAACTTATGTACACGGATGCATTCGCTTATTTTACAGCAAATGAGTTATGTAAATGAGTGGAATGGTAAATTTGATCTTTTACACAGATTTCTTAAATAGAACAAACTTATTTACAAGGAAAAATCATATTTACAAAATATTTACTAATTTACAAGGATTAGTAGCCAAAATTAATATTCCAATTCACGAGAACACATTTACATATTTACAGAGGCGAGAAAACTAATTTACACTCTCCTAAGGAGAGCTCCACAACCTAAGGTGTGCTACCCAAATTTACCCAAATGTTGAGGTAAATGACAAGGTACAGTAAGCCAAGCCTACTACTGCATGTCACCCAGTGAGGGAGGGAGGGTCACCCAGTGAGGGAGGGAGGGAGGGAGGGTCACCAAGTGAGGGAGGGAGGGAGGGAGGGAGGGAGGGAGGGAGGGAGGGTCACCAAGTGAGGGAGGGAGGGAGGGAGAGAAGGTCACCCAGTGAGGGAGGGAGGGAGGGAGGGTCACCCAGTGAGGGAGGGAGGGAGGGAGAGAAGGTCACCCAGTGAGGGAGGGAGAGAAGGTCACCCAGTGAGGGAGGGAGGGAGGGAGAGAAGGTCACCCAGTGAGGGAGGGAGGGAGGGAGAGAAGGTCACCCAGTGAGGGAGGGAGGGAGGGAGAGAAGGTCACCCAGTAAGGGAGGGAGGGAGGGAGGGAGAGAAGGTCACCCAGTGAGGGAGGGAGGGAGGGAGGGAGAGAAGGTCACCCAGTGAGGGAGGGAGGGAGAGAAGGTCACCCAGTGAGGGAGGGAGGGAGGGAGAGAAGGTCACCCAGTAAGGGAGGGAAGGAGGGAGGGAGAGAAGGTCACCCAGTGAGGGAAGTAAGTAATTATCAACAGAAGGCACCAAGCCGGGAAGGCTATGTAGCGCCATCAATGTTCGGGATAATCAGAGGGCGCTAAATATCACTGAGGATGCCAATATGAGAACAGAAACGCATAAGACGAACAATATCAAAAATATCCGATTCATCAAAAATTCTACCGAGGGACAAGTGACCACGAGGGACAGTCGGAAAGCAAGACACACGCTCGTCCTGGAAGTCAGGACATTCAACAAGGATATGCACGATTGTAAGAGGGACAATGCAGTTTAGACAATAAGGAGTAGGGAGGAACTCCGTTAAGTGACCGTGAGTTAAGCGTGTATGGCCAATACGTAACCTTGCCAGAGCCGTTTCCCACCGCTGGTTACGGTGGTATGAGGAAGGCCACAGGGACACACTACTCATAAGAGCAAGCAGTTTGTTAAGGGTAACAGAAAACGGAAGACCAACAACTCTGCCAACGGGCAAGGATGGAGGAATGAATAATTGGGTAAAAGTCGGAATAAGTCGACGACCACCTTTACGGGAGATGGGACAAGTGGGGATAGCTTCCTTAGCGGCAGCGTCCACACGCTCATTTAAAGAGTCGCCAATATGGCTGGGAACCCAACAAAACTCTACTGTCTTAAATCTGCTGGAGATAAGAAACAGCCAATGTTGAATCTCGACGACCACCTGATGGACTGGAATAAAGGACTCCAGAGCCATGAGGGCACTACGAGAGTCAACTACAACCACAAAGGAGGACTGACAACAAGAAAGCAGTTGACGAAGAGCATACAGAATACCATAAAGTTCTGCCATGAAGATGCTAGTCTCCGAAAGCTGGCGACACATATAGGTGTGGTCAGGAAAAACAACAGAGTAGCCTACACCGTCTGCAGACTTAGATCCATTGGTGAAGATGGAAATGGAGCGGGAGTGCGAAGAAAAGTGTTCAAGAAAAAGGCGTTTCAGAACTGCAGGAGGGGTAAAAGCTTTAGTGATGTGGGTCAGGAATTCACAAAATTTAGGAAGGGGGTCCCTCAACGGGGGCATGGACAGAACAACACGAGGAAAAATATTGGTAATACTAACCGAAAGAGAATTTTGCAGGCGAGACAACCGGACAGAAAGAGGGAGGTGGTGAAGTGGAACAGGAACTACAGGAGGAGTAAAAGTCAAAGCACAAGACAGATGAGAGTGAGGGTGTTGTAAGGACCGCGCAAGGTAGCGAAGACAGTAGAGATTACGGCGGTCCTGGAGAGACACGAAGTCAGCGTCAACATACAAGCTTAGGGTAGGAGTCGAACGAAAGGCACCAGAGCTGAGGCGCAACCCAATATGGTGCAAAGCATCAAGACAGAGTAGAGTAGGAGAAGCAGATGAGTAAGCAGGGGAACCATAATCGACTTTAGACAGTACGAGAGAGGAATGTAAAGAGAGGAGCTTGCGCCTATCCGCTCCCCCAAGAAGTATGGGACAAAACCTTAAGTAGCTTAAGGGCCTTAGAGCATTCAACTTGGAGGTAAGAGGTATGAGGTGACCAAGACAAAGGAGTGTCAAAGATTAACCCCAAAAGCTTAGCGGAATCTTTGTACACAAGGGGATAACCATAAAGCCACAACCATAACCATGAAGAACGACTTGCTTCCGAGTAAAAGTCATAGCACAAGTCTTAACTGCAGAGAACTTGAAGCCGTGATTGGTGGCCCAAGACGACATTGCATCAATCGCAAGTTGAACACAAAGGAGAAATATCACCACCTCGACAGCAAAGGGTAAGATTGTCGACATAGAGAGCAGAGAAGATGCCAGAAGGAAGGGAGGAAAGAAGACCATTGAGGGCAACCAGAAAAAGAGTAGTGCTCAGAACACTACCTTGGGGTTCACCTTTGTATTGCCGAAAAGAGGCAGAGAGAGTGGCACCAAGCCTCACTCTACAGGAATGACGAGAGAGGAAGTTTTGGAGGAAGAGAGAGAGATTACCACGAAGGCCAAAAGAACGAAGGTGGGACGGAATATGGTATCTCCAGGTGGTGTCATAAGCCTTTTCCAGGTCAAAAAGGACAACAACAACGGAGATCTTCGCAGCAAAAGCAGTACGAATATAAACCTCCAAGTTCACCAAGATATCAGTCGTGCGCGGCACTTGCGAAAACCAAATTGAGAAGCGGAGAGATGGTGATGGTGTTCCAAGAACCACATCAGACGAACATTGACCAAACGCTCAAAGAGTTTGCAGACCCAACTCGTGAGGGCAATAGGGCGGAAGTCCTTAGGAAATGTCCAGAGAGGACCCCAGTTTCCGAATAGGGAGTAAAACGGCATCAAGCCAGTCCTCAGAGACCGACGACGACTTCCAGACTCGGTTATACAAATTCAGTAAATACTGAGACGCGTATGGAGGGAGATGACGAAGCATCTCATAATAAATGTCATCTGAGCCAGCTGCTGTAGAACTGCAGAGGGCCAGAGCAGACTGAAGTTCAGAGAGAGAGAAGGGATCGTTATAGGGATGAGATTCGAGAACGGGCTTACGAAGAAAGAAGGATTGAGGAAGGTGAGATTTTTTTTTGGAGCTAACAGTCGAAAAGTGGGAACCCAGTTTGGTCGCGACCATCACTGGGTCTGCCACAAGAGTACCGTGGAAGTGAAGGACTGGCAAGACATCTGGAACAAACTTACCCACTATCTTGCGGATTTTCTTCCAGATCTGCAGCAGAGAAGTATCGGACGTAATGGTCGAAACAAGATTTCCAACTCACATGTTTAGCTGTGTAGATGGTCTTACAGGCCACTGCACTTGCCTTCCGAAACAAAATAAAAGAATCAGCCGTCTGTCGGCGTCGGTGTTTCTTCCAGGCTGCACGCTTACAGCGGACAGCCTGAGCACAGCCCACATTCCACCAGGGAACGCACTTCCGCGTGTCCCGGGAGGTAGAGCGAGGAATAGAGCGGAGGGCAGCGCTAAAGATGTTGTCATGAAAAAGGAGGAGGGCGCGAGGGAGAGGCAGAGTGGAGAGATCGGAGAGAGTAGCACGGAGGGTGAATAGATTCCAGTCAGCCTTGGCAAACTGTCCCTTAGGGAAGGAGAGGGGAGGGTGAAAAGAGAAAAGGTAACAATGATGGGGAAATGGTCACTGTTATGGATGTCATCAAGAACGCCACGTGAAATCTAAGTAAAGAGACGATGAGCAGAGAGAAAGATCAAGACAGGAAAGGGTGCGAGTTCAAGAGTCCTCATGAATGGGCTCACCAGAATTCAGAAAAGACAAGGAAGAAGAGAGGATGAACGGTTTGAGAAGGCGGCCTCGGGTGTTTATCAGAGCATCACCCTAGAGGGTATGCCGACAGTTGAAATCACCCAACAGGAGCACAGGTTTTAGTAAGGAGTCCAACAGGTGCTTAAGATCAAGAAGAGAAAGCGGGACATTTAGGGGGGGGAGATTATTGAAACAGACCATATACTCACAAAGATACGGGCCACAGAACATTGGAGAGGCGACGGAAAAAGTAGGAGGACGAAGGGAATATCAATATGAATCAAGAGAGCAGTAGAGTTATGGGCCCCAGCAGAAGCTGGAGGGGGAGGGGGGGGGGAGAAAGGAATAACCATGAAAGCGACCAGGACGAGCACCTAGCATCAGCTCCAGGAGACAGACAGAAAGTGGTGAAAAGTGTGTTATCAAAAGTTGGAGTTCATGGAAGTTGACATAAAATCCACACATATTCCATTGAAGAATATACATTATCCAAAGGAGGAAGAACAGCAACAGAGAACAATGAAGAGACAAAGGTAAAGAAGAACACAGTATACAAAAGAAGATCAGGACCAGGATCAGTGAAATCAGGGCTAAAGGGCAAATGTAAAGTTAGCAAAGATGATATTGGCGAGGGAGCGAGAGGACGGACAGAGTCCGGAGCTGAAGGACGAAACGGAGAGGAGCGGTCAAGGAAATCAGAGGGAAGAGAGGGCAGAAACAGGGGAGCGCACCACAGCAAGGGCAGCAACTGACAGAGCATCGGGAGCTAAAGGAAACACCATAGTCGGGACAGAGGGCTCGACCACCGAAATGGGAGAAGATGCAGTGTTAAAGTCGGAGTCAGAGGGTGGGGAAGTAAGAGAAGCCTTCTTACCTGCCGGGAAGGAGGAAGAAGAGGAGCCAGGCTTACATTTCTGACTTAAAGAGACAGGTGTGCCAGCAACAACGTACTGGGCGACAGCCTCCATAGTCTCAACAGGAGGAGAAAGGGAGCAACTAACTGGAAGAGTGCTGAGAGGATGATGGACAACAACAAGGACAGACAAGCGGCGTGGAGAGTCAAGGGACAGGGGGAAGGGCTGGTAAGAAGGATCGGGGGAAGATGGGAAAGAAGACACCGAAGACATGGCAGACTGGGAAGGAAGGAGGGAAATACCAAATGGAGAACTAGGCGGAAGACCCCGTGGTTCAGAACGTAAGGGAGCTGGGGAGGTGGAGGAGGGTGTGTCCGGGTCTAAAGACTGGAAGCGGTTGTGAGACTGAGAAAGGCGGGAAGGACGAGGAGAGGTGGAATGTAGAACACGAGCATAAGATATGTTTGCATAAGAGGAGTTACGGCGAACTAGGCGCCTCGGCTCAGGAAAAGACAAATGATCGTGGTGCTTCAAATTGAGGATGACTTCCTCAAGTTTGTAGTGTATACACTGGCAGAAGAAAATAAGGTGGGCCTCACCGCAATTGAGGCAGCGAGCCTGGGGAGAAGAGCACTCAGCTTTACAGTGATCCGAGTCCCCACACATGGGGTATGGAGACACCACACTTATGCATTTAAGGACACCATGCCCAAATTTCCAGCACTTATTATAAAGCCTAGGAGAGGGAATGTACTCCTGAATGAAGCATCTGGCACTAGCAAGAATTACAGAAGGCGGACGGGTCCTGCTATCAAAAGTGATTTTCACAACTTCAAGCGGATGACGACGACGACCACGAGATGGTCGGTGAACGTAACAACCTGGAGGATAGAATGGCCTTGGATTTCAAGGATATGGTTAATATCCTCGTGGCAGTCTTTCAGGTCCCGAACATCAGTCGCAACATGGTGCGGGAGGATAACAGTGCCAATATTGGCATTTAACTAGGCATTTTTGGAGATCGTAACAGGGGTCTCTCCAATGCTGGACAATGTGGCTAAGCGGGCAGCTGCTTCCTGAGAAGGAGCAGCAACAACACATGTACCAAATCGGGTGGAGTTAAAAGTAACAGAGGCATCCACCGAATCAACGAGGTGTTTATGGAGGAAGAAATTGTCAGGGAAAATAGAATCCATATGAGTGAGATCACAGTATTTAGTCCATGTAGCGGGACCAAACAAGGTGTTGAACATATTAGCACTGGAAGTGATCGTGCGAGGGCGTCTGTGGGGGAGTCGACATCGAGCATCCTCCCCCCCTAGTGTATGGGGGGGGGGGGGAGGGTAAAAGGTGCAGTTGTCACAATGAGAGAAGTAGCCGCTGCAGGTGATGAGGTGGCCACCATAGCAAGCTTAGGGCTCAACCCTACCACAAACGAAGGCAGGGGAGGGGAGCAGAGGGAGGTAGTCAGGAGGGCCAAAGGAGTAGCTTGGTCTGGGCCCAATGTAGCGGGAGCTACAGAGCCCGGTCTTCCAACACAGTCCGACTCAGGGGGCTTGGTCGCCCACCCCACGAGCCTGAGAAGTTATAAGAGAATCATTCAGCAGCATAGAAACGAGGAGGTATTAATTTAATTCACGAATGAGCCCCCACACCCACCATGGAGCCACAATTAGAGGGTAGGACAGCCAACGAGAGACAAGCTGGGGTGCATCGTGAGTATACGCCCCCACAATCGCCACCTTAAGAACCACTAGTTCGTCGAGATCGGGTTCAGCAACAATAGGAGGATTGACAAAAAAAACATCCCCTCGCTCGTGATGCTGCGGACCACAGTTCTACAGGCGAGAGTGGGCTTCCCCAAACACACAGGCGCCAAAACAGAAGATATCCGAACGAATAATCAAGACTGGCAAAAGATGGGCGGGAAAGACAATGAGAAAGGAGAAGAGGGGGGAGGAACGAAACACAAGGAAGAGGAAACAGTGACCAGCATAATTAGTGAATACGGCAGCAGGAGCATAATACCGTAAAAGGACAGAGAACCGTCCCATGGAGCATCACACCCCGGCAGCCGCCTACTAAGCCCCCTCACGACGACAACGGACTGGAAAGGGAGGGAGGGAAGGGTGGGGAGTGAGAGAAGGTCACCTAGTGAGGAAGGGAGGAAGGGAAGGACGGGTTCCTTCCTTAATGACGGGTGGGATCAGTAATGTCACTTGGTGGGGTCATCTGGAGTGGGGAGTTATCTCACCTGATGAGATAACGGGTTCATCATATTCCTGAGAAAGGTGAGGTTAGCTGCAGTGAGGGAGGAGGAGGAGGTCTGGTCAGTAACGTAACAGATGACCTGGTAGACGCTGTCCACTTGACCCCAGATGTCTCCCGAGGGCCGCATCGCTGCAAGGTCAGGAGAAGGTCACCACACGACACCTGTGCGCACCTGTCCTCACACATACCCACACACCTGTTCTCACACATACCCACACACCTGTCCTCACACATACCCACACACCTGTCCTCACACATACCCACACACCTGTCCTCACACATACCCACACACCTGTTCTCACACATACCCACACACCTGTCCTCACACATACCCACACACCTGTCCTCACACATACCCCACACACCTGTTCTCACACAATGCCACACACCTGTCGAGGAATACACCCCCTGAGGGTGTATTCGTCGGCGGGTGTTTCGGGGGAAAACAAACATGACAGCAGGCTGTGTGATGGTCGAGGTGTTTGTATAAGGAGAGTATGAGGACAGGCGAGTGGTATAAGGGAGCAAGAGTATAAGGGAATGGACAGGAGAAAGAGAGAGACAGGTCAGGGTCGTAGCCAAACTATTGAATTTGAATTTGAATTTTGAATTTTGAATTTGAATTTTGAATTTTGAATTTGAATTTTGAATTTTGAATTTTAATTTTGAATTTTAATTTTGAATTTTGAATTTTAATTTGAATTTAAATTTGAATTTGAATTTTGAATTTTAATTTTAATTTGAATTTAAATTTGAATTTGAATTTTGAATTTTAATTTTAATTTTGAATTTGAATTTTGAATTTTAATTTGAATTTTGAATATGAATTTTGAATTTTGTATTTGAATTTGAAATTTTGAATTTGAATTTGAATTTTGAATTTTGAATTTTAATTTTAATTTGAATTTTGAATTTTAATTTGAATTTTGAATATGAATTTTGAATTTTGTATTTGAATTTGAATTTTGAATTTGAATTTGAAACAGGTTAACAAGAAGGATCAGGTAATTTGAGTACAAGATGAAACCATGAGACGTGACGCCTCCATCTCTGTCATCGATTATACATATGAATTATTGAGAAAATGCGTATAGGAGCCGTGATGTGGATTCGAATCTATGCGCTGAGTATTACCAGGCACACGCCCCAGTGAGCCAGACCACGACATGGTCAAATGGAGTACAACCTGAAGTTCTACTGAACACACGAGTAGTTCAGTAGAACTCCAGGTTGCAATTCTTTTGACCGTTTCGGTGGCCTGGTTGTCCGAGGCGTGTGTCTGGGTATATCCAGTGTGTAGGTTCGAATCCTCATCATTGATAATACAATCCTCTTTGTATTATTATGATGTACTGTACTTACATAGTGAGCCTTCGCAATCGGGGTTTCTTTCACGTGTGGTGGTGATGTTGGTTGACGCGGTGGTGGTGGTTGGGGTATAACTGAGGGCCACAGTGGCCTGAGTGTGGCCCTGATGGCTGAGGGTGGCCAGGAGGGCCACTAGCTGCCATACACGATGGCTGGGTGTAATATGGAAGCTGTGACCACCACGCCCCCCCATGTACCTGGGTGACACACCTGGAGCTGGGTGACACACCTGGGGCTGGGTGACACACCTGGGGCTGGGTGACACACCTGGGGCTGGGTGACACACCTGGAGCTGGGTGACACACCTGGGGCTGGGTGACACACCTGGAGCTGGATGACACACCTGCAAAAGGGAGAGGGAATTTATTTAGAGACATTAAATGCAAGACGTTTGCACCCCCCGCATCTCTATCCTTAATTAAGTGTGTACACCAGCGGTCAAGTGTGTACACCAGCGGTCAAGTGTGTACACCAGCGGTCAAGTGTATACACCCAGGAAAACCTAGCCCCTCTCCTGGGAAAGGTCAGGTCGCATGTGACCTTTGACCCCCTGTAGAGTGCTGACGGGTCATCTTGTTGTCAATATCTTAATGAGAACATTCCCTGCCCTAAGCTACCCCAACCCCGAGGGTCAGTCCTTGCACCTCTCTCTCTCTCTCTCTCTCTCTTCTCTTTCTCCTCTCTCTTCCTCACTCTGCCCTAATTCTCCTCTCTCCTCCATTTCCTGGTTAGTATGAGTAAGGGGTCAGGGAGGCTGACCTGACATAGCAGGAAGGAGGTATTTGACCTCCCCCCCCCCTCCACTCCACCAATAACACCTTAAATGGTCCGCTTTGCCGGTCATTAGCTATGAGATAGTTTGGTAAACACTGGTGTAAAAACAGCGTTAATTGAAATTCCTATAGAATGCCGAGTGTGATGTTTTGATTCAAGTTAATCAGATAGTTAAGATGCACTTGGGTGTGTAGACACTACAAGCCATCAACTTGTAGTTGGGAACAAGCTTAAAAACTACCAGCAGACACCAGCAGGGGCACTTCCGGGTATATATATATCCCAGCATAGAGAACTTACAGAACTGAGGACAGAACTGAGAGTAACTACAGGGGTAGCGACTGGAGCAGGGCTGTCTCATCAAGAGCGGGATAGAAGACAGAGACTCCAGCTGTTGAAGGGATGTGGTCCATGAGGTATCGTACTCTGACGTAATGTACTAACGTACACTTGTGATTTCTCTGTTGTTATTGTCCATATCTTAATTACTTACCATTGCCAGTGTAGGATATGAGTAAGTAAGTAATTATCAACAGAAGGCACCAAGCCGGGAAGGCTATGTAGCACCAGTAGGATATGAGTGGCTTAGGTATTTTTTGGTGAATATCATAATTTCGATTAAATAAAATCTTATTAATTTTCATCTTTGTGTCTCTGGTTCTCCCACATTGTTATTTCCGGTGTATGTCATCAAGGACATTGAACCTCCTTGTTAGAACCTCCCAAAATTCTCCAGCTTTTAGCTGTTTAAAATAACTGTCAGTGATTACATCAAAAGAAATCTCTCATTAGAAATTATCAAAAACCTTCCGTTGGATACATATACTAAAGTTACATCAAGCTTAAAGTCTTATAAAAGGGGGCGTAGTGGTTCCCCCCATAAACCACTGGCAATCCACTAATTAGTAATTATCAGCTCTTGAACATCATAATAGTCTTGAAGTAACGAACGCAATGGGGTGGTGACAACCAGTTCTCCTTTGAACTGAGATTTGAGATTATTTCCTTGAAAGCACTATTGGTTTTGTCCGAGGCCACTATTTCCGGGTTACACTCAACTGTAAATAAAGTTTGTTTTATAAGGAAATATACGTAAGAACACCAGCGTACAGTCCTAGAGAGGTACAGTGGTATCAGGTAGGTGTTACAATGGCAGCAGGTGTAACAAAGTGTGTACACCAGCACTCAAGGTGTGTACGCCAACACCGCACTGTGTACAGTGACGAGGGTACACACCTGTACTTCCATAACTGGTCAACAGTGACGAGGGTACACACCTGCACTTCCATAACTGGTCAACAGTGACGAGGGTACACACCTGTACTTCCATAACTGGTCAACAGTGACGAGGGTACACACCTGTACTTCCATAACTGGTCAACAGTGACGACGGTACACACCTGTACTTCCACAACTGGTCAACAGTGACGAGGGTACACACCTGCACTTCCATAACTGGTCAACAGTGACGAGGGTACACACCTGTACTTCCATAACTGGTCAACAGTGACGAGGGTACACACCTGGGTCAACAGTGACGAGGGTACACACCTGTACTTCCACAACTGGTGACGAGGGTACACACCTGTACTTCCATAACTGGTCAACAGTGACGAGGGTACACACCTGTACTTCCATAACTGGTCAACAGTGACGACGGTACACACCTGTACTTCCACAACTGGTCAACAGTGACGAGGGTACAAACCTGTACTTCCACAACTGGTCAACAGTGACGACGGTACACACCTTTACTACCACAACTGGTCAACAGAAGCAGCACAGTCCTGGCTGATATCAGTAGCTACGAGCGGGCATTATCTCCCGATATCAAAGATAACATCAGCGGTGCGTATGTGAGGGCCTCATGCCCCTTGCCAACTACCATAATATTGAACTGCCTCAACATTCTCTAACCGTCACAACAATCTTCAACTGCCAATAAGCCAATGAGATTAGGTGCTAAGGCTAGCTGTGATTGATTAGATGAAATATCGGAGGGTAGAAATAGCCTAAGCTACTCTATCCTTTTGAAATGTATCTTATTGTCTCGATAAACTTATTTGAACTTGAGGATGAAATATTAACCAATCAGCGAAGAGCTCGGCGATGTGGTGCAGCAGCCCCCGCTTCCTACTGGCTCTCAGGAACGCACTTGACGCCCAGTCTTGACGGGGAGTAGTCATGCTTCTCGGCTCTCTCGAGCAGCTCACTAAATTCGTTATTATATGCCTTGTATCAAGCTCTCCAAATCATCACAACATTACCAGTTGGGATATATACAATCTGTAGTGACTCCAAGAGCGCGATTCAAGCAATTTCGTACTCTTCGAAAACATGCAAGGAGATTGTCTACCCATGCCTTCAACTTCTTCACAAACATCAATTGAACGGTTATGACACCTCTATCCAATGGGTCCTAGCACATTGTGGTATTCTCCATAATGAACTTGTAGACCAACTAGCCAAAGCAATGCACGACACGCCTCACCTCACCCGTCATCCAATTCCCCATGTTGCACGTAAAGGAGCCTTCAAAGATACCATCTCCCAGGATTTTGCAACAAACTGGAAAACGTTATGCTCACCTTTGCACTATGGGTCCATTAAAAAGAAATGGGAAACTTGGAAACATGTCCGATATAAAAGCAGAGAAATTGATGTAACGATGACCAGATTAAGGCTGGGACACACCAAACTAGCAGCACACAGCTCTAAGTACAGAACAGACATCAACGAACTCTGTACTCACTGTCAGGTGCCTGAAACAGTCGAACACTATCTCCTGCACTGCTTCCGACATTATAGTGCCAGAGTAAATTTCAAACAAGTCTTTATCGCACTTAAAATACCCTTTACCATCGAGCATATATTAGGAGGCGGTGACCACTCGTCACAAGAAAAATACCAAATAGTCAAAGCACTGGCTAAATATCTCCAATCGACCAACAAATTGGGTC